CTAATCTCAGGAGGGATCTCACCAGACAATTTGTTATCACTAAGTTGAATATAGCCCGGTACCTGATTCTTTCGTACATTACTACCAGGTTCACAGAGTGGCATTAAACCATCTCCCATAAACAACTTATCCCCCAGGATTCTACAACTCTTCCCTGTCAATAGAGGATATATAAAGCTAAATGGAGGGTAGTCAGCTGGTATCCACCTCCTCATGGCAAAACAATCCCCTGGGCTAGCAGTGAGCTTCTCCTTTCCCCTATTCAACAAAAATGTTAGCATTGGATCTGCACCAATACTCGCTAATTGAGGAGGAATTGGACCAGTAAGTTGATTATTCGCGAGATTCAACCATAACAAGCTGCTGCAGTTCCCCAACTCTGATGGGATTTCACCACTCAATGAATTGTTTGCAAGCATCAACCACAAAAGTGACCTTAGCTTCCCGAAACTTGGTGGTATTGAACCATTGATCCTATTAGAGGAAAGATCAACAGCCTGAAGTGCTGTAAGATCTCCATATTCTGAAGGTATATTGCCACTAAACTGGTTATGTGCAAGAATCAAAAACTCCAAACCTTTCATCTCAGAAATTTCAACTGGTAATGGACCAGAGAAGTGGTTATCACTTAAGTCCAACCGCGAAAGGTTCACCAAGTTTGGAATTCCTGATGATACTATGCCTCCAGTATATGAGTTCCCGTGCAGCACGAGAAATCTTACCTGTGTCAGTTGCCCGAAAATTTCTTGTATTTCTCCTCCAAAGTTGTTTCTACTTAGGTCCAGAAATACCAATTTGTTTAGGCCTGATAGAGTATCTGGAACATCACTTGAAAAGTTGTTACTTCCCAAGCAAAGTTCTTTAAGACTATGTACTGATCCAATCCCTCTAGGGATTGACCCTGAAAAGCTATTTCCCCACAAATTCAACTCTACTAATCGCTTACAGTTCGCGATAGATGTAGGCAATTCACCAAAGAACCTATTTTCTGATAAGTCCAAACCTTGCAAAGAGCAGTTTTGAGTGAAAATCCAGGAAGGCAGAGAGCCACTTAAGTTGTTATGAGATGCTGAAAACATATTCAACATATCAAGCCCGAACGACAGATTCCCTGTCAAATAATTGTAGCTTAGATCAAGATACTTCAGTTTCTTGCAGTGAGAAAATTCAAATCCACTCTCACTAGTGAAATTGTTGTTAGAAATATTTGCAACAGCTAAGTTATCACAAATCTCAGGGATCGTTAGCCCATGAATCCTGTTCATTGTCAAATCAAGAACTTCCAGCTTGTTCAGGCCTGTCAAGTTGAGGTCACCAACAATGATATTGTGTGACAAGTTCAAGAACTTCAGATTTCTACACCAGCCTAAGTCTGATGGAATGGACTCTGAAAATGTGTTCTTGGACAAGTCAAGAGAGTTCAATTCTGTCATGGCTGAGAAGTTATTAAACAACTTCCCAGCCAGATTACTTTCCGAGAGATCGATTCCAGTGACACGATTGATGGAAGTAGTGCATGATATTCCAGGCCATCTACAGGGTGACAAATCTGTAGGATTCCAATGGTTATATTTGAATCCTTTGTCAACAGGATTTTGTTCCTTAAGAAATGACTTCAAGTTCAGCAGCAACTGCTTGTCTGTCTCAATTGAGTCTCCACAAACAAGCCTACCTATATAATATAAATACAAGTCAAAATTCTCCCAAAAACAAAACAGAACAACATTTAATGCTTGGTGTTTGGAGTAACACAAACAAGACTGGTCTTATGATTTTGCTAAGTTAAAAATAAAAAAATCTGTCTTGCTGCATTAAATGTTGTTTAAAAAATTGAATCTTTTTAATTATGTACAGAATGAGACTCTACTACTAAACTTGATCAAATTAAAGCTATCAAATATGAAATGAGGATATATATATATATACATACATACCTGTTATGAGAATGAAGAAATTGAGTAATACAATGGGAAGAAAAACATGAGATTCCACTTCAGACATGATAATTAAAATCTTGTTTTCCTCCACTAGACAATTTATTTTCTTAATTCTCTGTAGTTACTGTGAGGAATATTAATGCAAAAGAAGAAGAACAGTATCAAATGTGAGGAATAATCATAGGAAAATGCAGATGGACCCAAAACAAAATTGGAACACATGCACGTATAATAGTAATTTTTTTTTAAATAATTAGTTATGGCCCATTAGTAGTTTAATTTTGACTAAATTGACTCTTTTATGTGTTATTTAAAAATAAAAAGGTTGTTTGTTAAGTTCCAATATAATATAATCTAATGTCATAATTGGAGTAATAATGTTCTTTAAGAGTGTCAAGTCTGTGGGGGCAATTTGCTAAACAAGCCGCCCAACTTGACCTTAATTTTATTACTAGTTCTAGAACTCAATATTGACCATTTTTGACCTCTTTGCTCCTACGGTGAATAGTCGATAAATACTTATTCGCGGTATTTATATTAAATTATATAAATTTAGTACTATAATCAATTATAAATATAATAAGGTGATCTTTCAAAATTTTCCAATTACAGTGCATATATATATATATATATATATATATATATATAAATATATATTATTGGTGGGTTAGTTGAAGATTTTCAAATATTCTCTTCAATGATTAGTCCAAATATACATAGTATCCCTCGTTTCAATTTTTTTCTTTTTTTTTATATTTGAATTGACTTATTTTACGTGTTTTAAATCAAAATAAATTATGAACTTTTTTATAGTATTTGAATAAAAATAAGAATAAAAATTTAATTAGTTATTTTTAAAGACTAAATAAAAATAAATTAAAATTCAAAAACATATCCAAACAGATTAATTTCTTAATTACATTCAATATATCCTACCTTCTCTTAATTACATTCAATATATCCTACCTGGCATAGTAATACGATCCAAAAGAGAATTTTAATACATTATACATTTTTAAACATCACAAGATTCAATTTATTTATTTTAAAAATCACAGCAAAATAAACTAAGATACGTAAATTAACTAAAGGCACTTGAAGACGACCTTTCGCGGCAGGCGTTCAAAACATCAAGTGTGAACGCTGAAAAAAGTCATGCATTATTTTATTTGTACGTAAAAATTAAAATTTGTTCGTCAATTTTGAACTATAAGCCCCTTTAATAATTATTTGTATTATTCAACTTGTTTTGAAGGATTTAAATTTATACGATATAACAAAAAATATTTTTTCCACTATTAGTAAGCCAATTTTTGGTGCATATCAAGTAAACTTAATTATAATTTGTGATTGCATAGTTAGTAGTTACGTTAGTGATTAATTGAAACATAGAACGTACGTACTGAAAATTACTGCTCCATCTAGGGTTTTAATTTATGCTATTTATTTAGGTATATTCCTTTTAAAACAAAATTCGTCTAAACATTATTGATGGTGGCTAGCTTAATTCATTACAATACAATATCCCCTGATGGAAATATATGATTTATTTATAATATTACCTAATTAGCATACAAATTATATAGTACTACTAGTTGTTAATTCTTTATGCTATCTTGTAATAAAATATAGTAGTAATAATCTACGTTGCTCAAGTCAAGCCAGTTGGTCCCCACACTCTTATAAAGTAGACGTCATAATTTTTTTTCAAGCATTGAGTTAATCTGAAATTATTGAATTCTGATGAATCCACGATTAAAGGGTTGCCTCCGTCCCTTTTATCACTTGGGAGCCGTGTGAGATGAAAGTCTCGTGCACGATTTTGAATGAGAGAAAGAAGTGACCTTCCTACATTGGACATGAACGATCGATGCCACTACATATAGCCATATTGTTCCTAAATCATGTTATTAATTAATTACGTTATCAATATTGTCTATTGAAGATTAATAATTCAATATATTGGAGTAGCTCGTACACAACCGTGCTGGGCTCTTTGAACTAACAGTGCTGGGCTTCATTTCAACTTCGACAAGGTTGCGTCCATATTGGTTGGCCCAAAATAAGATATTTAAAGCTACTGGACATAATAGTATTCTCTTCGATTCTACAGGAATTAATATAAATTAAACCACAGATAATTGTGAGGAAATATTTTTTTAAAAAGAAAATACAGTTAATTTTCTGTAGGTTGGTAACTTTATTAATCGATTTTTTTCTTTTTAATTTATACTTTGAATAGGGAAATAATAACATTGGGAAATGAGAATAGAGTTCAATTCTGTGGAAAATATAAAGTTTTAATTCCTCGAAAAAATACAGAATGAATAAATATTAGATACAACGTGAATAGGGGGCATCAATAAAATCTGCAATTCAAATGTCAACCATATATTCTAATTACTTAATTTAATTAGAAAATAAACGTGCTATGACGTGTCAAAGTGTGCTAATTTTTCAACTTTATAAACTACAAAATATTCTCCAATTAGTTTCAATCATCGCACATCATATTCTCTGACCAAAAAGTATAGAGGATTATAAGTACAGATGAATAAGAATCTTTTTTTTTTTTTGACATTTCATATCTAAATAAACCGAAATACCAATAGGCAATAACGTATCAAAAATATAATTTTACGTATATAAGTCAATAAACTAAGATATGGACTATTTATTTAGACCTTGCAAATATTACGTACTTAATCTTATATGATTTTTTTTTATAATTAATTAACAAAGAAAGTTATATGTATATAAATATATTCTGTTGAATATTTATATATGTTTAAGATGTTAATATATAATGTAATTGAGATTTTTTGTTAAAAAATCGAATCGTATGAATATACGTAAACTTTTTTTTAAAAAAAATCATAACTATCAATTTACTATACCATAATATATTAATAATAAACTTAAAAAATCTAATTGTATCAGATAATAACATAATATTTTTAGAAATCATAATTTTCGAAAATCAAAATTTTCAAAAGATAAATACCACCCTTTCTGAATTATTTTTTAAAATTAAACAAGATAAATAAAAAAAAGAAAAAGAAAAAATAGAAAAGGAAATTGACCCCTAATAGGACAAAATACTATTTCTGGTTCAAATAATGACTTTTTTGATTTATAAAGATGTCGTTCTTTTTGTCTGTAAAAAAACAAAACAAAAAACTAAGATTTCGTTTCTGACATTCTCTTTGTGTCAGGGATATGCCACGTGTACATAATATAAATTAGATGGTCGAATGTAACGAACAAAGACCGTAACAGGTTCGGGTCAGTTTCCCGAATCCGGTTCTTGTTTCTCTTACGACTTTCTTCATCAATGGCAATGATCATCATTTTCATTGCATTTTCTTAATCCCTAAATTCTTTCCATTTTTTTCATTCAATTTACTGTCACTTTTCCCTTACTCTAAATCTTTGTCAATACAATTTTCTTCTTCATTTCTTTCAATTTCAACTGAGCTGCTTTTTTTTTTTTTTTAACAAAAACCCAGCTCCCCATTTCTGCATTGATCATCGACCGTGTTATTCCATTTGGGGGATTTTTTTTAAAAAAAATGTCGTATTGTGGGAAATTTTTGAGGATCCATTGAGACATTTTAGCGATCAATTGGTGTGCATTTGGAAAGTTAAAGGAAGGGGGTGGGAACCCAAGTTTTATTTTTTTTATTTTTTGATGCGATTGATAGAGAAACGGCGCCATTAGATGGCGCTGTTCAGACGATTCTTCTATAGGAAGCCGCCGGATCGGCTTCTAGAGATCTCTGAACGGGTCTATGGTATGTTTTTTCTCCGCCAAATTATGTTGTTTTTGACATTCCTCTGTTTTTTTGTCGCGTGTTCGATGACCTACATTTTTGCAATAACATGAATTTTTTTGGGATTTTGGTTGGAAAAGTTCATTTTTACAGAAACAGGGGAATTTCCCGGGAAAAAAGATCTCCAGCTGTTTTTGACACAAAGGCTTATATGATCATCATAGTTAGCTACATTTGGAATGTCTTATCGTTCAGTTTAACTATGAGAATTTCAAAAATTGCTTAATGAGCTAAAAATGTATATATAGTTTTTGAAACAATACTGAAAATCTGATGCTCCATCATTTTGGTAGTTTGCCTAGCTATTGTGCTCTGTTGTAGTTTTTGTATACCTTTTTTTCAGAATGCTTTGTGGCTTTCTTTGTTCGTTCTGCTTTAATATGCTTCTCTTTAAGCCGAGGGTCTATGGGAAACAACCTCTTTACTTCCCAAAATAGGGGTGAGGTTTGGGTACGCTTTACCCTTCCTAGACCCCACTTGTGATATGTTGTTGTTACCAGCTATAATGTTCTGTGACTTGGAAAGTGAACTTCATTTTACAATTTTGAGTGATATCTGTAGAGCTTACTATCTTTATTATCTTAATGGTGGATGTAACTCGGACCAATAATTCACACATTGCAGTGTTTGATTGTTGCTTCTCAACGGACGCATTGGACAAATATGAGTACAAGACATACATGGGAGGTATTGTAGCTCAGCTGCAGGATCATTATCCAGATGCTTCTTTCATGGTTTTTAATTTCAAAGAAGGAGATCACAGGAGCCAAATATCAGATATATTAACGCAGTATGATATGACTGTCATGGATTATCCTCGGAAATATGAGGGGTGTCCTGTATTGCCACTGGAGATGATCAAGCACTTCTTGCGATCCAGTGAGAGCTGGCTTTCAATCGAGGGCCAACAAAATGTACTGTTGATGCACTGTGAGAGGGGTGGGTGGCCTGTACTTGCTTTCATGCTTGCTGGTCTTCTTTTGTACAGAGAACAGTACACCGGTGAGCAGAAGACACTTGACATGGTATACAGGCAAGCTCCTAAGGAACTTCTTTATGTTTTATCACCTCTGAATCCACAGCCATCTCAGCTTAGATATCTTCACTATATCACCAGAAGAAATATTGGCTTAGATTGGCTGCCATCAGATATACCTTTTGCTTTAGATTGTATTATACTCAGGGTCCTTCCTCAATTTGATGGTGGGAGGGGCTGCCGACTGATGGTTCGTGCCTATGGTTTGGACCCTGCTTCACCAACGTCCAATAGGAGTTCTAAACTCCTCTTTTCAACTTCAAAGACAAAACATCATGGCCGCCTCTACCGACAGGTAATGCTAAGCTTCAAATGTTTGAGACTTACAGGTAATTAGCTGCAATCTGAAGTATTCTGCTGACTTACCCTCTCCAGGAAGAGTGTGCACTGGTGAAAATAGATATCCACTGTCGTGTTCAAGGAGATGTTGTTCTTGAGTGCATCCATTTGGAAGATGATCTAGTTAGGGAAGTAATGATATTCAGGGCTATGTTCCACACGGCATTTATTCGCTCAAATGTTTTGATGTTAACTCGTGATGAAGTTGATGTCCCATGGGATGCAAAAGACCAATTTTCCAGGGAGTTCAAAGCAGAGGTTTGGTATTTATTCCTCTGAACTTGGCCCTTTTTCCTTTATCCTTTAACACGAACTACAGGAGTTGAATAATGCTCATTTCTGTACCAGGTACTCTTTTCGGACGCTGATGCTCTTCCACCTATTATAACCACTGAAGCACCAGACGAGGATGATAATGCAACTGAGGGAGCTTCACCCGACGAGTTCTTTGAGGTGGAAGAGATATTCAGCAATGCTGTTGATGCACAGGATGGAAGAGGGGAATCTGATGCCCATTCAGTTCAAGACAGTATGCAGGATGATGACAACATTGAAACATGGAAAGAAGAGTTGGAGCATCATGCCTTTCAAGATTGTTCATTTGTTGAAGGTCATCGCAAACTAGAAGAAAATATGGATTCTACTCAACAAGCATCAAAAACAAATGGTTTAGGGGATAGGGACCACTTGATTAACTCCGAGGCTGTTATTTCTGATGTTTCTAGTCGCAAAGATTCAGTAGCACAAACATCGGGGGCAAATGTCATGTCACAAGGAGATAATAAGCAAGATATAGAAGGCCCCTTGAGTCAGGAGAGGCAGGGTTCACAGTTTACTGCTGATATCAATAAAGGAAAGAATGAGAAGGCACCTTCATCTCTTAAGAAACAACTAGCATCAAGCTCCAAACTTGCTGTAGATGGGATTGGACCTAAAAATAAATCTAAACAGAAAGAATCTCAGGGAACTCTGTCTCGACTAGCAAAGCCAAATGCAGTGTCTCGGTGGATCCCTTCTAATAAAGGTTCTTACACTAATTCAATGCATGTGGCATATCCAGCATCAAGGTATAAGAGTGCTCCACCAGCGCTTGCTGTTACAAAGGATTCTCAATCTGGGTTTAAATCAAAATCGCCCTCTCCTCGAGCTTCTTCAGAAGCTAAAATTCTAGCTGGAGCTGGTCGTATTCCAAAGAAACGCTCTTCATGTCCTGCATCATTAGACATGTCAACAACAGTCAAGGAGGCACCTGTTGCAATGACCTATTCATCAGAATCAGTTGAGAGTCAGGCACTTGACCTTCAGGCATCCCCTTCAAGTCCCCTACCTTCATTTCAATATCCAAGTACTTTATCACTTGAATTGCCTCCTATTCAGGAAGCAAGTACTAACATGCCAGCTTCCACAATGCTACCTGAGTCTTCACAGAAAGACCACATTATAACTGCTTCTTTGACCCACCACTCCTCCCCTCCCCCACCTCCACCCCCACCCCCACCTCCACCTTCTCAAATCCCATCACATAATCAAAATGTCAAATCCTTATCACCACCTCCACCTCCACCTCCACCAACAAATAGTTTGAGAAAGACTCAGATAGGTAGCTCTCATATTCAAAATGTCAAATCCTTTTCACCACCACCCCCACCTCCACCTCCGCCTTCCCCTCCATCATCAAATGGCTTGAGAATGGCTCATATGGGTATCTCTCATCCCCCTCCCCCTCCTCCCCCACCTTTACCACCCACATTATCTACTGTACTGAAAGTTGGTAGGGTATTGTCACCAACCCCCTCACCCACTTCTTTGCCAAATGCGGCTTGTGCAGCATCTTCCTTGGTAGCATTAACTCCACCTCCACCTTCACCTCCACATGCACCAAAGCTAGAAAGACTTAGAATATCCCCTCCACCACCACCACCTCCTCCCCCTCCTCCTCTCCCTATACCTGCAATTTACAGTGCCCCTCCACCACCTCCACCATTTGTGATTGTGCCTGGAGTTCCTTCTTCGCTAACAATGAGTGATCCACCACTTACTTCTTCACCTAAGCTACCTTCTTTACTTGGTGCTTCAGCTTCACCTCCCCCACCTCCTATGCAGGTATCTCCTCCTTCACCACCTTCACAGAATGATTCTGTTCCACCTACCTCAACTCCTTCGCGAAATGCACCTCTCCCACCTTCGCCTCCACCAAGTTCACCTCTATCTACACCTTCACTTCAATCTCCATCAAGTCCACCTCTATCTACACCTTTACCTCCACCTCCACCTCCACCTCCACCCCCACCTGTCTCAACAAATTCTCCAATGCAATTTTTGCCTCCACCTCCACCAAGAAATGATCCGGCCCCAACTCGACCCCCACCTCCACCTCCACCCCCACCCCCACCCCCACCTGTTTCAAGAAATTCTCCAATATTAATTCTGCCTCCACCTCCTCCACCCTTACTTCCTTCAAGAAATGTTTCGGCACCAACTGCCCCTCCCCCTCCTCCACCCCTTTCGTACAATACTCCACCTTCAATTCTTTGTCCTCATCCTCTTTCCACCCCATCTTCTTTATCTAGAGCACCACCACCGCCTCCTCCCCCTCCTTTGCATCTTGCACCTTTACCATCTCCTCCATTGTCAGCAGCTCCACCGCCTCCTCCTCCATTACCAGGAGCTCCACCACCACCTCCAGCTCCTCCTCCCCCACCTTGTGGCGGCACTCCAGTTCCTCAACCTCCATTTTATGGCGGCCCACCAGCTCCTCCACCTCCCCCTTACAGTGGCCCACCAGCTCCTCCACCACCCCCTTACGGTGGCCCACCAGCTCCTCCACCACCCCCTTATGGTGGCCCACCAGCTCCTCCACCACCCCCTTACGGTGGCCCACCAGCTCCTCCACCTCCTTCCTACGGTGGCCCACCAGCTCCTCCACCTCCTTCCTACGGTGGCCCACCAGCTCCTCCACCTCCCTCGGGTGGAGGTCCTCCAGCTCCTCCACCTCCCCCTGGTGGTGGAGGACCACCTCCTCCTCCTCCTCCTCCTGGTGGAGCACCACCTCCTCCACCCCCTCCTGGAGGTGGTGCACCTGGTCCACCTCCTCCACCACCTCCAGGAGGTAGAGCACCGGGTCCACCTCCCCCACCACCTCCAGGAGGTAGTGCACCTGGTCCACCTCCTCCTCCTGGAGCTCCAAGAGCACCAGGTGGTGGACCTCCCCCGCCACCACCATTTGGCGCTAAAGGACCTGGGGCAGCCGGCAGAGGACTTCCTGCGGGGAGAGCTCCAGCGCTTTCACGGTCAAGATCTAATTTAAAACCATTGCACTGGAGCAAGGTAACCAGGGCACTACAGGGAAGCCTATGGGAGGAACTGCAGAGACATGGAGGGCCTCAAATGTATGTTCCATGATTTTTTAGTTTGAAAGTGCTTATATTCAACTTAATTGAAATACTGATAACTTTTGCTCCAAATCAAGTGCACCAGAGTTTGATGTGTCAGAAATTGAGATTCTTTTCTCAGCCACCCCCAAGGCAAGTAGTGCGGGTAAAGCTGGAGCAAAGAAGAAGTCTGCTGATTCTAAGCCAGACAAGGTTCAACTGGTAATTAATACTATTCAGTGCCTTTCTTCTAGGAACCATCTGCAAAGAATCTAACAAAAAAGGACTAATATTTATTTTGTTGCTTTATTCTTGCAGTCTCTCCTGGTTCTGTAATGATTATTTATTTATTTTTCTTTGCTAGATCCTTCTTAGATGATTAACTGTAGTTTGTTTCTGTGAAAATTTGACATTAGTTATTTTGAGGAACTCTTTTTCTTTGTTTTATTTCTGTCTCACATGAATTCTTCTTTTCCTAATTTATTTTCTTTGTATTTCTTTGGTAGGTTGACCTAAGAAGGGCAAACAATACGGAGATTATGCTCACAAAGGTGAAAATGCCACTTCCAGACATGATGGTTAGTTTAGTACTTCTCTTAAATATTTTCTATTTTCTTTAATTTTCTTTTTTGAAGAAGCCTCCTTTGTTTTCACAGAAAAATAGCTCCCTGTCTGGTTGCGCATGCCCACACACACTGGAGGGGGGGGGGGTTAAGCATGCAATCTAACTGAATAAGATTGTGGGATTCTATCTCTTTGTTTAGGATAGTGAGAGTCTATATCTTCAAATTTTCTGAATTTCACGTCTTTCAGCTGACTTACAAGTCACAGACTGCACTGTGGGTATCAAATTTTAAACTGCTCACGGTTAATAGTATAAGGGGAAAGACCGATCCCTTGTCAGTGCCCTAACTCAATCATTTTCTTTCTTCCAATATCCAACTAGTTTAAACATTTCTTCGAGATCACATCATAGAATTCTAGAGGCCAAATGTATGTGTTGTAATCTAGGGGAAAAAGAATACTAGTGACAACAGGAGAGCTACCTGGTCATCTAAGCATGGATCACATAATTCAGACAATGTTTGGGTTATACAGAAAAAAAACTGATATATTTTAAATGTGTTTGGGGTGCCCAGTCAAACTACCCATCCTTATCAAGTCATAGTATAAGAGACCCTTCATTTATTTTTCCTCCTTTCCTTTAAGCTTGAAAAGAATACCCCATTACGTGTTAAGTAGGGGGAATAATTGATATAGATGGGTATTAGCTCTTAATCCAACTTATATTTGTTCATTCGAAAGAGAAAAGAAGAATTTTCTCAGGCTGTCGAAATCCTCAGCCTCGGAATGAGGTTGATATGTTAATGTGGAATCTACTTTGTTGTTAATTAGACTTCTCATTGTGGTTCAAACGGTCTAGGACCCCACACAAGATGATGAGACCTCATAGGCTTTCCTTTCTTCTATTAGTTCTCCTTCATCTTTCTACTTTTTCTTTCAACTATCTTGGTCCTTTGATATACAATGTGGCAAATTGCGGCTACATTCTCTCCTTCTTTGTCAAGGTGTACTAGAAATGTGTACAACTTGAAATCAGGGTTGAAGGAATACAGAAAATAGAATTAGAAACTTCCTTTCCTCCGTGGTTGTACATACTGGGCTCTACATAGACCTAGGTGATTCCCTTTCTCTTGAATATTCTTGCTTTGTCCCTTGATGATTTCGGTGTAGAAGTGTGAGGTTTAGAGTTCCCCAAATTTGCAAGAAAAGAAAAACTTTTAACGAATAAGAAACAGGCATGAATAAAGCAAATGCATATCAAGCATGCATATAGCATAACCAACTGGTATTAGATTGAGGCCAAGCTAATTGATTAATATTCATGCTTGTCCTCATGATGTTTTCTAGTCCTCTCTTGTAAACGCAATGACAATGGTTCTTGTTATGGCCATAGGCAGCTGCACTGGCAATGGATGAGTCAATTTTAGATGCAGATCAGGTGGAGAATCTGATAAAATTTTGTCCTACGAAAGAAGAGATGGATCTTCTTAAGGTAAAGCTTACTGATCTGAAGATCTTATCCGTCCTGACTTTGATTTCTTGTTCTTTTCTGCTCCTCTACTCCTTTCAGTCTCCTCTCTCCTTTTCTCAGTTGATATCTCTGAAAAGTTTTATACATTCTTACTTTTAAATGATTGTTTACTAATACAACTACTCAGGGTTACACTGGTGACAAGGAGCTTCTGGGGAAGTGTGAACAGGTTAGCCCATCAGTTTTATTGTACCTATCTAATCACTGCATGATGATGATCTTTGTTTTATGTCATACTTTATAAGTGCCTATCGTTTTAAAGTTTTCATCTCTCTTTACTATGATATGTTGTCATGGGTTCTCTATGAAGTTGGGATTGTTTCAGGAAACATCCAACCATATATTTTGGAACTGAATTTGGTATAAAGAAACCTTTTTTTTTTAATAAAGTTAAAGTTGTACTCTTCAGCGCTAAGGGTATGCTGGCTACCTCCAAAAAGTTACAAACTAAAACCATAATTACATTGATCCTTGGAAATCTACCAACTGTTCTACTACTTCTATACCCTCTTCTTCACACCAAAAAAAAATGTTGATGCAATTTTCTTTAACTTTCTGCATAGTGTTAGTAATATTCCCATGACACCTAAGATTTCTTTCTCTCCAAATAGCCCACCAGACACAAGCAGGTACTATAGACCACCATCTTTTTTGTGTCTTGCTTCCCCGCCCCCCCCCCCCCTCCCTCCTCTCATCCAACAGCTCAAAAGATCAGTAGTACGTTCTGGCATCACCCAGGGCTCTTGAGAAATGTTGTAGACCATGCGCCACACCTGAACAGTAACCCTACAGTGTAGGAATAAGTGGCTGTTAGTTCTTCCTTCTCATGACACAAAAAAATATCTGGAGACAATCTCGAAGCCTCTTTTCTTGAGTTTTTCCTGAGTGAGACATGCCCTTCTGGTGACCAACCAGGTGAAGCATTTCACCTTGGTTGGGGTGTTGCCCCATATTTGTTTCCATCAGAGTCATGTTTCCATCTTATACCATCTGCTTCTGAAGTAAGGCCCGTGAATTTACCCAAATTGAGTAGCAGTACAGCAGGTCCGTGAATTCACCCAATTTGGCATAAAGAAACCTTTCATAAACTAAACCTCTATTTATTCATGATTTGGGGAGAAAAGTTGGCGAACAAGGCTCGCTTAGAATTTTCCTGTGTCCACTAAGGGGATTGAATATGGTTACATATTTTACCTATTTGGTCTGGTGACCTAAGTTTCAATTTTTCCGAGATTACTTCTCATTAATGAACTAAAACATAATAAACTTGGTTGGAAGTAAACAAAGGAGTTTTCTCCATTTTGATGCTGAAATCTCCATTGTGAGTGTCAACCTGTCTGATGAAGAATCGTTTACCAAATTCAGTTTGAAACAGATGTCATACAAAGCTTATGACATAGATGAAACAAGAGCTCCTTGTGACTTCCAATATTCTGATAGAAAAATTAAGGGCCCTATCCCGTCAAAGTCTAGTATGCATCCGTGCATCCTAACGACCATTATTTGGTCCTAGCTATTTCCTCTCAACATCTGCTGGTGGTCTCTAGCCTACTACCGCATTTAAAAGTTTTTACCAACTTCTGTAAAAGCTTTCGGATATGTGATAGTAGTAGATTGTCTATGAGCGTCATAGTGAGAGGGAGGAAAGAAGAATGTGTCAATGTTGATAGCGAGTGCAGAGAATCTAAGAGGAGGTGGCAAGCAGAGAGATAATGAGCATGTTGCATGAATTGGTATTTCGATAATAATAATAATAGAAAGAACTAAGGGAAAGAGTAAAAAAAAGAAAGAAAACGGGTTCTTTGATCTAGAAAATATTTGAACAACTTTGGCAACTGGTAGAATAGAAAGGAGACCTACACAAATTTGAGGGAAGAGAAGAAAGAAGAATGGAGTTGCTTTGACATAATTTAGAACCTGCACCTCTGGTATACTGACATCCATTGACCATTGTGCTACCTTAGTATAATTGAAAGTCGTTCTTTTCCCTTGGCTAGTGAGAATAACTTAACCAGCACAGACAGCAAAGAAAATTAACAATATTAAATAATAAAGTTTGTGAAATCTAAATTGACGAGATCTCATTGACCAACTTTTAATTGCTCAGGCAGTATATGTAGTTCTGACTAAATGATGAACTTATTGAGTTCTAAAAGAATCATTAACAACGGTAGTGGCCTTCCCCTGGTGAAAGAAGATTAATTATTTTGAATTTCAATGTTTTAGAGATAACTGAGTTGAGAGGCCATGGCAGGTGACAGATATTCATGATTATGACGACTTCACCAATGTTAACACCTTCTTATGATTGAATGATTAGAGTGGTCAAAGTCCAATTTATGATGTACTCCCTTATTCCATTATCACGTTTGGGAATTCTTGTAAGAATTGTTTCTTTTCCCTGCCATTGGAGGTCTTACTATTTCAAGATTCGAGGAATAGCTGATACTTGCTTTCATTTTACAGTACCTTCTAGCTTAGATCCCATGCTTCTCCGGTGTTCCTGATTTTACCTTTGACTGTCAGTTCTTTTTGGAGTTGATGAAGGTGCCACGAGTAGAGTCGAAATTAAGAGTGTTTCTTTTCAAGATTCAGTTCAAGGCTCAGGTTTGTGTGCATCTAGATATCTTCTGTACTAAAGTAATTTCTGTGTCATCTAAATTTAGCTTCGTTTCAGGTGACAGACTTCAAGAAAAGCTTAACCACTGTGAACTCTGCATGCGGAGAGGTAATTTGCTAGGTTCTGCATATCTCTTCTTTGTTCTTTCTTTTTATCTAATTTTTAACAAAACTCAATGTGCATGTAGCAGGTCCGAAGTTCTTTAAAATTGAAGGAGATATTGAAGAAAATTTTGTTTCTTGGGAATACGTTAAATCAGGGAACTGCCAGAGGTAAGAATTCCTGTTTTTGGAATGTCTTTGTGAGCTTTACTTAACCCTTTTCTTTTTACAACCAATGATGCCCATCATGTAGGTTTTCAAAACCTTCAACACTATCAAATATAAAGTAATGGGGAAACTTTTATTCTAAATACAATAATGGATATTTTTTTAATGTTGCAACTGGTACTTAATGCTCTTTGGTTTTGGGGAAAATTCAAAACAAGAATTGCTTGTTGCTATAATGGGTAATACTTTTTTGATTAATTCAGGGGGAGTTTGGTTTCAATTTTTTATATCATTTTCTACCTAAATAAGTAGCATAAGCATTGACCCTAAGCATGTTGTTTTGTAATAAAAAATTAGTTGAGGTGGCAATATGAATCCTTTATATCCATTCTTCTCCATTTGAATCCATTTAGTTTCACGATCAGAGTGCAAGCTAAAGAAATTATGCCACATAACTAATTAGTTTGATATCCTTTGCAAATTTTTGGAAAGATGAATTAATATTCAGGATGCTTATAACTCATAGTTTTGCTCCAAAGTTAGTCAATTTTGCCATTTTGGGATCTGGAAAGCTTAGTGTAGATTCTAGTTTTGGAAATATAATCAGTGTTTTATGAGTAGAAAGACGAGTATGATTATAATTAATACTGTTTCTTGCACTAAGAACATTATGCATTATTTATGTGGCTGAATTAGTTCGATGGAACATTAGACCTGATTTCATGTTGAAGTTTGGGTCAACAAAATTTCAAGATTAAATTCCATGTAATTCTTTACTCCAGGTTCTGCCATTGGATTTAAGTTGGACAGTCTTTTGAAGCTCGCTGATACACGTGCTACGAACAACAAGATGACACTCATGCATTATCTTTGCCAGGTACTGTCCGTTTCATCTTTTCCAGAAAGTTTCTTCTGTTCACATGATTCCCCTCTGTTTGATTAATTATTTTTGAGACGGTAGAATAATTTTATGATGGGGGAGAAATCTCTTGCATGCACGTGGCATACCAAAAAGCAGAGAATCTACAATTTAATAAGATTCTCTACCAAGACACCTCAATCTTCTATACAAAATGGAATCTCATGGATGCACGAAAAGGAAATCCAATTGATAAAGTGAAATTGCTGTTACACAACAAATGAATCAGCTGATCAAGTTAGCTAGTTTTACCTTATGAGTAGTTAGTCATGCTGTTGGATTAGTTAGAAGCAGCTAGCAAGATACGATTCTTTCTCATTTCTATATAAGGCATTGTACCATTACAGATGGAACCATCAATTGAATATACAAGTACACTTTCCAATGGAATTCGATTCTTCATCTTCTATCTTTTCAACCACCATAGCTGAATAATTCTAGCTTGTCCACTAAGCTCCTGTCCAGCTGCTAAAAGCTTGGATTCCTTTGAGAATCCCTGTACTTCGGCTAACAATTGCAGATTCTTTTCTGTCCATGAGTTCATTATGGATGAAACTTCACAATAAAAGGCCACTACACTCCTTCCATCTCCCAGAATCCTAGTTGTCATGCTATAGCTTTGTTTATAGTACAATTCAACCATATTTTGGAAGGTTCCTTCTAAACCTTTGGTCCTTTAGTCCTATGAGACTCCCGTTCGTGTAACTTTTGAACCTGTTGGACTGTCATCTCTTTTTTGCTGGAAATGCTATAATTGTTAGGCATTGTGAATCTCAATGCATTATCTCCATACCACTTGAGCCCCCAAAAATTAACCCTGAACCCTTCCCCTGCCATGTATGTGACTTACTGATTTTTTCCCCAATCCTTCAAAATGTTCCTCGCAGCTAAAGAGTAGTTTATATTTTATCTTGTCCTCCATTCTCCTTTCAACAAACCCATATTTTCCCTCTGTCATCCCCATCTGTAGAGTTTTTTCTCTATCTTGACTTTGGCCATTTCCCTAACAAGGCGTTGTTAACAACCCGGACATTTTTCACCCCAAGGCTGGACGAACTCTTCGCGTCATTATAGTCTCCCAACGAATCAAGTTAAACTTCCTAGCGTCATTTTCTGAGAACCTAAAAGTTCCCCTAAAGTCATTCCAATTTACCTGTATGCTGGTTGGTTCTTGTAACAAAGACATAATGTATGTGAAAAGGCTTGATAGTATGCTTTTCATTAAAACTTCATTTCCTCATTTTGACAAATACCTTGTTTTCCATCCTGAGAGCCTCTTTTCTACTTTTTTTTTTTAATACTGGATTCCGTGTCGTTTGATCCTTGTTGGAACATCTAGGGCAAACCGATGTAGCTGCTGGGAAGAGCTCTAAGCTCAGCAATAAAACACTTGTAATAAACTGCCGATGTTCTCAACTTCACCCACTAGGATGATCCCACACTTTCTAAAGTTGATCTTGAGAGATGACACCACCTGAGTTACCACCTGTTATTGCTTTAGCCATCATTTTTCTCAATGGTTCCATTTCCAAGATGAAAACATAGGTGATAAAAAGGAATTATTAACTGATTATACTACGTGAGGTCGTCATATTAACACTACTCTGTTTTCTCAGGTTCTTGCTTCCAAGACACCAGAACTTTTAGACTTCCATGAAAGTCTTGTAAGCATGGAGGCTGCATCAAAGGTTATCTATCTACCTCTCTTTCTGCTGATACTTCTTTAATTTATCCAGATTAATTAGAAATTAGTTTATCCTTGCAGATTCAATTGAAGTCTTTGGCAGAAGAAATGCAAGCAATCATCAAGGGGCTGGAAAAAGTTAAGAAGGAACTAGAGTCATCTGTGAATGATGGCCCGGTGTCTGAAATCTTTTGCAAGGTAAGACGGTTCTTTTAAATCTTTCATAAACTATGCCTCAGTTTTATCTGTTCACATTTTTTAGTGCCCTACACATTAGGAGTGTTGAAATACTGCATTTTAGGACTTCCTAGTTTTCTCCCTCTTCTTGTAGAATTGAAAATTGGATCAGAAAGTCCTTTTTCTGTTGCAAATTTTCCTTTACCAAGAACAGCCACATTTAAGGTATTAATCTTTCATGTTTGCTTCCCCCTCCTCCGCTCTCTCTCTCTCTCTCTAGAAGGTCCATTTTTTAACCTTAAAGCAGATCAAGCTTTAATGAACAGTTGGCACTAGAATTTCATCAAACTTTAAGCAAATCAAGTCCATATAGAGCTCATATATATATGTATATATATATGTATATGCTAAGCGATTAATTTTGAATACAGGCAATCTAACTTTAAGCAAATCCAGTCGACCTTTTATGTGATATGTGAGAGTTTTCATTGGTGAAAGTGAAAATTGGTAAGTGCCACACATTGGAGGAGGGATGAGTTGTTTGTCTCATTATACGGTCTTGAGCAATTCTCACCTCATGAACTAGCTTTTGGTTGAGTTAGGCCCATGGTCCATTTTCTTCACAAATGCCTTGGTCTCCCTTTTAAGTGTATCATTTATACAATTATTTACCTATGATAGTTGATAAAATTAAGCAAAGCTTTATGTCTCGATCAGTCCCTAATGGTTTGACAGTAACAGGAGGATGAAAGTTGCTGTTAGTGAGTAATTTTTCTTATCTGTCTTAACTGACGTATCTCCCCTCTTCCGAAAAAAGAGGGTAACAGTTTTCTGGAGTAGTAAAGTACTGCTGTTTGCATTTGGATAGGAGATAACAAGGAACTGTGATTGTCATTTTTTTCTACTATTTAATTGATTGATAGAATAGTCTTTTAGCTTGCAGCTGAATTTTGATGGACTAGCACTATTTGACTCTCATGTAGTTGTATATCTTTACCTTTTATCATTTTCTACTTTGTTTCCTTAATTCGGTAATTCATTTAACATAAGAGTTGATAGGACTCATTACCATGCGGCTATTAAGTTGCAATCATTTCGTAACAAACTAGTATAATCTGCGCCATCTTTGGTCCTTATAAGTTTGATTTTCTACGTCTGGTAAACCAGACCTTAAAGGAATTCATTGGTGCATCTGAAGCAGAGGTGGGATCTCTCCGGGATTTGTATTCTGTGGCGGTAATTTCCTTTGCATTTAGTTACCTCTTTGTTGTATTATGTTACAGCATCAATTTCTATGGTGTCAATGATATGTTTTATGGTTGTACTTGATGCACAGGGCAGAAATGCAGATGCACTTGCGCTATATTTTAATGAGGATCCCGCCAAATGTCCATTTGAACAAGGTATCATTTGTACAAAATATTTTATCCCCCATTGGCCTTCTGGTGACAAAATTGAGCTGATGAAAGTGGTTCTATAGAGTTGTGAACATTACATTGTTGCCTTTGATGTCCTTCAGAGTTATACTACCAAATATGATAACATAGTAATAGGTTTATTACAGCACGCGACTGCTAATTGTCGAGGAAATATAAACCTTTTCATAATATACTCCGCTTGTTTCAGAGGAAGATAATGTTAGATTCAATTAAGACTATGCCAGATATGGATCTGCCAACAAGATTTCTAAGTTATCAGACTCGATTGATCTAGCATATGTGGAGAAGTTTCCTAGTAGAGGTTTACATTGTCTAGGGCAGTGCCAAACCATTTGGGGTATAGCTGTGTATGGAGCTCAAACTGTCCTTTCTAGTTAAAGAAAAAAAAAGAGATAACACTAATCAAATCAGCATTTGACTAGTTTGCACCACCTGGTATTTAAGTTACATGCAAAGAATTTACTAGAGAAATTCTGAATTTATGTTGGCATTGAATTTTATTCAATCCGGTTTATTCCATATATGATTCATTTATGCATCGTTATTCTCATTTCTGTGCTAGTGCTTTTGAAGGTTTGACTCCTAATTGTTTGTTGTGTGGTATCTGTTTCATACACTGCAGTCACTGCAACCCTCTTAAATTTTGTGAGGTTATTCCGGAAAGCCCACGAGGAGAACTTGAAGCAGGCTGAACAAGACAAGAAGAAAGTTCAGAAGGAAGCCGAAATGGAGAATGCAGAAAAGAAGCAGCTTAAAAAAGAAGGGTGAGAACTGAATGGGGATGATTCATGCTTCAGGGAATTTTTGGAGTCATGTGGCCTCTGTCTGTTGGTTATCTAAGGACATTGGTATTAAGTCAAACCAGAAGCCTCCAATATCGATCTATCGGTTTTGGCTTTCTCTGGGCTCAAGAAAGAACGTCGAACATTAAAGCTCGTGAACCTGGAAATAGCAGAAGTGCTTTGCAGAGGGAAACTGAAAAGGACACATTCTTGTCTGGGCTCTTGGAGTGCTTTGCAGAGAGAAGCTCAAGAAAACACACTGTTGTCTGAGCTCTTGGATGATGCAAGGAACCCGTTGGTCCAAAAATCGATCGCCTGGATTTTTGTTATTGACGGGTGATCATGACTGCCGTCCGTCCTGGAGCGTGTGCTGCATGATTAAACAGAGAAATGCATCTAAAGAATGTAAATTTGGCTATGCATTTGTTGAACCAACACGATGGAGTCGTTGTCGGCGAGTTCACCTTGATGGAGATTATGCCATGCAAAATGTGAATTTGGAAGTGTAACATGAATAGTTTGTACAAAGCTCAACTAACCCCTGTATTTAGATCTCTAGTTCAATCTTTTCATTGTAACATAGAAACGGGTTCCTTGTCAGGGGAATCCAACACGGAAAGTTGTACAGAAAGCATAGAAGAGGATAGAAATAGGTATTTTTAGCAATAGCAGTGTAACAAAATGTAGGCTGTAGGGTTAGTTTCCCACCTTCCTTAGAATCAAATTTTGGAAAATAATATGATATCTTCATTCATTGATCTTGAAATCTTGTTATTTTTCATACTTGGACATCCACGTTTTACTCAAGAACACCTTGTAATCTTTTGATGATCTACTGTTTTGAGTTTCCAATATTTGGAAGGAAATTTGCCACTTTGTTGATCTTCATGTATATGTGTAAAACTTGCAGCCTTACCCTATCTCTTAGTGAGTTTTCTTGAGATCATAATTATACTACAATAAACCGAAGAATTGCTTCCTGTCTTTCATGTTTGAAGCTATATTTACTCCTGTAGGAACCTATATTTGGACGAATTCATATGACAAATGAATAATACATGATACAGAATCAGTTGAATTACTCAGTAAACTCAAGAAAGCTCCTCTAAGTTCTTTATCAACAGTACTGTATGGTGATCTCTGTCTTCAATCTCAATTTGATAAGGAAAACATCCTTCTTCATCCATCTGGCAGCTCTTTTTACAGCATTCGAAGAAAAGACAGCTAGAAATGGTGTCAAGAACCAGAAGAATGGCATACAAATAAGCAATGAACATTCCTTCCAAAGCAATAGCAGAAAAGCCTGTTCTTTTATGATGATAAGATTTGACAATTCTGTATTGGTATAGAACTTCAACTGCAGCAAAGGCCAAGTTGAAAATCACGGCTAACGATAATGCTGTTGCATTTTTCCCTTTGATTAAAAAACAAGCCTTGAGAATTGCCATATACCCTCCTATGTTCTCCAGTCCTGATAATACCAGTGCCAAGTTGCAGATGATCAAAGTGCTGGCTGAAATGATTGAACAAATTATTGCTCCTGTTGCTGAAATAAAGAGGATGGGGCTTGGAGATGAAAGGTTAAATCCGTAATTAAAAATATTGAAGGTGAAAAATAGGAGAGTAAAACAAGTTGCATTTGCTGAGATGATGACTATTGTGTTGCAAAGTTGAGTGAGAAGAAGGGAACTGTAGAGTGAACAAAAAGAAAAAAATGCAGGTTTCTTGAATGATTTCTGATCACTGAGAGCTTCAATCACGGATGCCTTTGCGAAAAGGAGAGAGGTAAGGGTGAAAGGAAATGCAAGAAAAGAGATTGCAAAGGTCTGAGAAAGCTTGGAATTCAAAAGGGTGAAGAGTTTTGAAGAGGATGGTAATCCCACTGCATCAAATAGAGAATGCAGGTGATCGTGGATTGCTAGGAGGAAACATGTAGAGGGGACGAATGCTTGTAGCAGAAGAACCGAGGCAGCAAAAGGGAACGCGAGGACTGCTGCTATTGTAGTGTAAAACTGGTAATTTTGCAGAAAGATAAAGATTGATCTTCTGATAATCTTGCCAGACCCCTGCATTGGAACAGATGAATAGTCTTTCATATTGGTATATTTGAGGCATAGGAGTTGGCAATGATGTTTCCTCCTCTATTTCAGAAGCAAAAAAGATATTTCTTTGCAGATAAGCCAACAACTAATTGCTGGTGCCGTGGAGTTGTTTCTGTTTTGTTTTGTTTGGGCTCATTGTTAGTTTTGTCCTTGTGATATCCAAAATATATCAAGTATTAGTTGGCTTAACTTTGTATTTAACAAGACAGACTATGGTGGGGGTGGGGGGAGGTTGGTGTAAAGAAGGCACATTACCAAAGACGTGAAAAAATAGATAACATGATTAACAATGAGAACCCTAGCAATGTTTTTGGCTTTTCTCTTGTTGCTTGCTGATGGAAAAGATAGACCCTTTTAGATGGCTTGGAATATACTTCAATGTACAATGAAACCAATTATTTATATAAGAATCATTTAACGTGCCTTCATACGCTGATTTCATTCTTGCATATATAAATCAGTAAATTGCATCTTATTTCTCCTGCTAATAGTTTATTCTATGTTGTTATTACGATATTTTAAAAATAGTTACTAACCATTTGTTTGGTAACGCCAACTGCTGAATAACATGTTGCATTATGAACTTAATCATTACAACAAAGTGTCAGAAGATTACTATATGATCAGTCTATTACATTTAATTTCATATGGTAAACTTCATGAAACTTCCCTCAGGGGGAATGTCACAGTGATCTCGTTACTTTTTTGCACTGTCAAAGTGCATTGTGGCTCTACTTCCCTCGTTCGAACATGGATCTAACAACTTTTACTTCCAGGGACATAACATAACATGGCAAAACCATAGTACCTGCCACACATGAGATCTCATGTCCAGGGTGCTCTCAAGAGTATCCACTTAAAGCTCAAAATCACAGGAATGAAAGCGATAGGGAGCAGGTCAATCTCATTGCACCCCGATGCTGCATGTAGATCGCAGGTGCCTTTGATTGGCAGCTGAAAGCAAGCTTGTGCCATTTGTGAGCATGTAGATCAAGGCGTTATTCTGCATTCATCCATGAGCTATAGTACATCTCCGTCCCAGGGAATTCTGATAATACAAGAGAACTATCACAAAGTTGCAATCAACTGACATGTTCACAGATCATCCTCGTGTGAAGAATCCACATATTCTATTTGTACTTCCTCTTCTTCAACATCGTCATTGCCTGCTGAAGAAGGCTGCCCATTGACATCTACATTCACACCATTGACCTTCCTTACAAACTGTCCCCTCAAACGCGGTCTCTGCTCTGCTACTTGCTTCCGGTTAATATACCTAATCTTCTTGTCAAAACATCTTTCCTTTCTCTTTTGTCTGAACTTCATCAAAGCTGTCTCTCTAAGATCAACTTTGCTCACCTTGATTTCGGCAGAAGATGAACTGCCAAACGAATGCCATGGATGTGCTGCTGGCAATTGACCTGGTTGTAAGCACATGCCGATCGGGTAGAAAGGATATGATGATATTCCATGCATATGAGGATATTGCGGCATATAATTGTATTGAGGCAACATAGCTGAATTAGCATGATTATGGAGATGTTGCAGGCTCTCGTGATATATTTGAGTTGACGGCATCATGACTTGATTCATTACTCCTGAAATATAATAGGGATAAGGAGTTTGTGCATGAAAACTGGAAACATCATGCTGAGCCTCATTTTTGAGATGCATATGCACCTGAGAGAATTCCTCCATTTTTGAGTTCCAGTGGTGTGGAAATTCCTGTGATAAAGGGGGAGTACATGACCTCTCGATAGTAAAAGACGTTGGAATATTGTCATAGCCATCACCTTGCAAGTGACTTTCTACATCTCCAGTGACTTGTATGTTCGAATCAATGTGTTCATGTCCTCCCAATGAAGTGTTTTCTTCAATCCCCAATTGCTGAGGCACACTTCCACGGATAGAGGTTGGGCTTTGGCCAGTGCTTTTCGGCAAGCTTGACTTGACATATGTAGAAAAGGCGGAAGACTCACCTATCCTCAATTCACTCTTCTTAGGAAATAGTGAAATTTCTCCTGTTAAACATATGCATATGTCAGTTGAAACTCATTTGAAGATATAGAAAAGTTGCATCTCTCAGAAAGTATTCATCTTTAAGCATGTAAAGCAAGACATATCACCTAGTAATCAATTTTAGAACCTGTTAATTAACTGACACAAGAATTTAGTTTCACGTGATTATAATCCAAATAAAACAAGAACACACGGAACAGAGAGACTACCATCAAGTTGCTTACAACACTTCACTATGTACAGGCATTTCTACATCAGTAAACAAGAACTTCATAACTGCTCTAATATGCTTCACATGGAGCACATCGAGTACTTTTGATTTTGCATGTATATATGCCAAATCTACATGCAACATAAAGCTTACTTCTGCTTTCTTATTCATGCTTAGCTTCCTTAGGAATGCCTTGTAACTTCTAAATAGTATAAACAATGAAAGTTCAAATGCAGAAGCAACAGGGAAAATACTCAAAGTTCCTAGAAACTTAGATAACAGTCAAAAGAAAATCTCACTCACCACCACTTCCAACAAGCTGAATACTCATTACTTATTACTACTTTTTTTTCCTTCAAATATACTGTTGCATTCTCTATCTTATAGGGTCGAGTAAACATGACAAAGTGGAAGATAAGATTATATTATCCAAATGCAATAATGTCCTTTTCAGTGATAATGATTTACTTATTTGTTTTCTGGATGAAGATTGTCCTCATCTTCATCAACTAACGACATGTAGTTTTAGATAAATACTTCCATTAAGAGTTTCAAAATCATGTGAACCACTGACCTGTGCTTTGATCATCAGTTCCTGGTGCATTAGGCGGATGTTCAAATGGAACTACAACCGCAGTCTCTATGGGAGCAGCATCAGTTGAAGCATTAGACTGAAAACATAGAAATGACAGATAATAAACGCACAAGAGACACATGTTAGTTCAACAATGTTTGATAAGAAGCAACTTTTGCCAAAGAACATTTGTCATCTGTAGCTACAGAACATGATCTGTCACTAATACATTTTGGACTAAGGAGCACTTGGAGATTGCTGCTCAAAATAGAATGTACTATCCAGGTATTGGGACAATAGAACTGCAAATTACAGCAATTTATACAAAAGGTGCATTTATTATCTGTAGCTACAAAACATAACTTCTCACTAGTATAACTCAAGGAGAGCCTGGTGCTGCTACCAATAAAAGGTACCACCCATGTGTTGGGATATCAGAATCGCAAGTTACTGCAATTTGTATTAGAAGTCTTAAGTTTTTTTTTTTCTGATAATAAGTCTTTGAGTACTATCCACAAACACCTCAGAACATTCATTTTTAATGAAAATTCCCTCACCGGCTAACCCTATTATAAGAACGTACGACTAGCAATGAAATATGAACCGGCTGAATTCAGTAAAGGTCAACAAATTTTCTCAGTTAATATAGAGGAAAAAGCAGTGTGTCCAACCTGTAGATTGCAGGTATTAATATGTTAACAGTTAACACCATCCCCCTCTAGGAAAGTCACAAAAAAAAAGTCATACTACCACTTCATATATGATTTCAGCTCAAGTTTCAACTCTCAGGTCTTAAGTGCCGAAGCTTGCACTTTGAGGTTTCTAACACCAAGGGATTGGGGGGCAGCTACGTTGGTGAGCACCCTGCCTTCCACATTGTAGGTGGAGGATTCAAATCCCATTATTAGAGTCGAAACCTCCCCCCCCCCCCTCCCCTTTCCCTCTCCTCCCTGATGTAATAAGGAACTACCAAAAAGCCAAATTTTAAGATCCCGAAAGAACAAGTCATGAGATAGCATTCATCAATGATATTAGCAACTTAAATTTTGGTGATTACATGAATGTGCTAGAAACGCTTTCAAAAGTAACTTCAAAAGAACTTGCTTTTCCACCTTGCATCTTGCTTCTTCTTGCAGCATAGTAGAGGGACATATTTCTGGATTAACACACTTCCATGACTTATCATCGGTATCATCCGAGAAAAGAGTAGTGCTATTTGTGTTGGGATCACTGGGCTCTGATACGACCAGATTAAAGTCATAATTTATGATGTTCTTCTCTACTAGTCCGAGCTGTACACGAAACAGAGAAATATAAAATGATTATTGTGGAGATGTTGACATAGAATATTTGAAGAACACCAACATCAAAAAGTGGTACAAGGAGAACTTCCTTCACATGCAGCCTAAATAACACAAAAATAAACAACAAAAATTGGGTGAGGGTTCAAACACTGTTTCCATTCATATTAGAACAAGTAACAATAAATATATTTAGACCGATGAGAGAAAAGATATTCATCAAAGATTTGTTTATACTAGTCTCTGTCATGCTTCCCTGCCTTAAATTTCCAGATATCCTTGCTATAAATAAATATTTCAAGTAAAAATAAAAAGATATTGAAAAGCAAACAATAAAACAGAGAAAAGATTAAGTGATTGAATAAGTACGTGCCATTCTCCTTCTTCTCCACATGTGTGTCCACAAGTTCAATAGCTCATTAGTTCTGAGAGGCTTTACCAGGTAGTCAGCGGCTCCAAATTTCAGGCACTTAATAACAATAGAGACTTCATCTTGCGATGACATCACTACAAAAAGAAAATGAAACAGTATCTTTGACCACACTCATAAGTACATTTCACTGGAATGTGCAATTTACAGAAACTTAAGCTTACTGATCACTGGAATGTGTCGCAACTGCTTATCCCTCATAATGTGCTTCAACATCTTAAATCCTTTAGACATAGGAAGGTCAACTTCTGAAAGGATGAGATCGATATGAGGTCCTTCTGCATTCAATGCATCAATCACCTGTCTGGGTGACCTCACTGATATCACTGCAATGCAACAATCATCACAATTAGTCGTAGGCTCATTAAAAAGCTGAGTCTAGTACTACTGTGTAGCAAGCAACTGAAGATTGAACTAACATCAGAAAACAAGAGTAACTTACTAACATCAACTCCTCTCAGCCGCCCCTAATCCCCAATTTTCCCCCCTTAAGGTTTTCTTCCATTATACGTTTTTCATTTTTTCTCCTTCATGCATTTTTTCTATTGTTTTTCTCCGGGTTTTGGGAGGGAAGGGGAGGAGAAGAACTCTGGATATTGAACCTCTAACAAGTTGCAAAACTAAACTTCCCCCATATTCAAACAAAAATCTAGAGTAAAGACCTTGAAAACCAAGGTTCATATCCCAACAAAGGTGACACAAGGTGAATTTTTCTCATCTGCCTAGCAACCTAGCTACTTGCTTTGCTGATAAGAGGTGATCAGTTAGCATAGACACATCGTTATCAAGATAAACAAATAAAATAAAACTCCGCAATAAGTTAAAGATGAGAATCTTCTATTGCTATCATAATGGATCATAGGTTATTCAAAAACGAATAGAATTTGTGGGAGAACTACAACGGTTTGTGAAGCTTACTGTGCTCTAAAACATGACTCGTCCCAGAAAGATATTATTTGAGAATTTTAAGTATATCCTTTAGAAATTGTCTCTATGCAATGTGTAAACAATAAGTCCCAAAATGCACCACATTCCTGTGTTGACGACCCATCGGATTCGAATAGAAAGAACACTTATTCCCCCTAAAATGACAAAAGACAGGCCGATAGGAGAAGTAACAAAATACATGGAAATCAATCTCATGCTTCAAACTTTTTTTTTTTTGATAATTATCTCATGCTTCAAACTTAAATTCAAGTCAAAGAAATCACACTCTGAAGAGCGCCTAAGGTGCTTAAAACTCTCTGACCCCCGAAATTGAAGTATCCTACTTTCACACAATTCACAGGGGGCTATTTGTCAAACAAAAGATGCATTAACAAAAGAAGGCAAGCTCAAGCAAATGATATCAATTAGCAATCTGAATTTTATCATATAAAAACCAATTCAGAAACTACAAACACCAGAATGTGAATTAATCATAAGAATTGGATATTACCTTGATAAGAACATTTGCACAAGAGAGTAAAAACTTCCTCCGAGCTTTTGGCATCGCTATCACACAGCAAAATCCTAACTTTACTCCTGTCAATAAACCCATCCCCTGTCCTCACAGTCTCATTCTTCTCCATAACCATTACACAAAAAAAAATAAAAATTAGGGTTCTAATACAACCCTAGCTCTCCCAAAACTGTTATTGAAGAACTTCCATTACTATTACTTCCCGCTCCACTACAGGGATCAAAAAACTACAATAATTAAAGTTATGGCTGTCAGTTCAGCACAGCATCATCTTGCTGATCACGTAGTCATCCAATCCAATTCATTTAGCAACAGACGGTTACACTGAGCACGGTACAACAAGAAAGCAGAGCAATCAATCTAGAAACTTCGGCCATTTCTGTTTCACCAAGTCAGCCGCCGACCGATATATACCGGTCGGAACTCGGAATCACCAATCAAAATATAAACGTAATATATCCCCGTTGACGGACTGGTCGGCGCACGTTAGCAAAATCGGTGCACGGTAGCGATGTAATTTTTCTGCCACTCAGTGAGTTCTCGTATCTTATTAAATTAAAGAATTAACAAAAAGTCCATGCAGACAGCTGAGTCGGTCAGAAAAAAGATTAGTCTTTTTGGTAGAATTTGGTGTCGTCTGGCTAATAGCATTAATTGTAAAAATGATGTTTCCGTGTGAAAAAAGAACTTTAAGAGTTACGATATAAGATAGCACTTTGATTATTGGGAAAGGGTTTAAAATTATTCCTTAATTGGTTGATTTTAACTTTATCGTTATTTTTACTTCTGTCATTAATAAACTCAATAAATATATTTTTGGAAAAATTACATGAATAAATATATTTTTAAAAATAATTACTGATTTTTAGCGATATTTTTTTGTTTATTACCATTTATAACAATATTGTGATAAATCTGTAATATGTATTAAAAGTAATTATGTATGCAATATATTTGAATTATAATTGTTTTTGAAATATATTATGTTTGTTTGGTAAAAAATTATCACATTGTATTATAAGTATATTAAAATGTGTGATAAATGTATTGTCCTATCATTAAAACTTGTATTATATTTGAAGAATAAATTTATCTTTATAATATATATTAAACTTGTTTAAACTTGATATTTGCCACAAATTATCATCTTCAAAATTTTAAGAATGATACAGTCTTCTTATGTGACTCAAGAATCTGTCAACTCCTTTAAATTTGTATCCAAATTGGGGTTTTTGCGTTTGATAACTCAATAAGAGCAGCTATACTGTAGATCTGTATTTAATTTGGGCTCTTTTTGTTTTTGATCCATGAGAAGAAGCCATCACTGTCCTGTATTTAGTTTGAATAGTCGTAAAAATTATAGTTTTTTAAGCATTAGAAGAGTTATTCTTCAGTTCATTGGGGGAAAAAAATTTCATTTGTGTGTTTACCTCTGTCGATGTTAATTGTGAAGTTGGGTTGAGAGAAGATGGGATGTTAGCAAGAATGAAGTAGTAGTACCCATCAATGGTGTCGAATCAGAATGTCCAAAAAAACTACTAATTTTGATGAGTCATGCTACTGATGTGGTCATAGGACAGTTGTTAAAGCCTTGACAACTTTCAACAAACAATTTGAAGTCTTTTTGATTGCTTTTAATAGACAGTGTACGATTTATGTGTTAGCTATAATAAATATTGTGTGTTCTTTGGGTACTTAACCAAGAACATTGAGAAAAAGGGTGAGAACACTGAGATGAAGATGATTGGAAATGGGTTAATTTGTGATGGGTTTTGTTTAGTTTAGTGGGTCGGTCTTAGTTTGGGTTAAATTTCTTTTTGGATAGTTTCAATAAAAATCGGATAATTTCAACTGATTTGGGGGTTTCCGTTCAAGAAGGGGTATATTTGTTGAGTTTATTAACGATGGACTTTTAACGGCAGAGACAAAATCAACCAATAAAATAAAATTAAAAAGTAATTTTAACCCTTTTCCCTTAATTATTTATATGGCGATAAATTATTTTATTTAAAACAATATATATTTTTTAAAAATTAAATTAATTTTAATTAGAAAGGAAAAATAATGGCACTTTTGAGCTACAATAGTGAAAAGAAGAGTTGATTTATGTGTAGCCGACACGTAAGCGGCAACAAATATCTATGTGTTTTCTCTCATTGGTTTAATTTTGTTGGGAAAAAAATTAAAAAACCGTCCTTTTTGCCTTTTATTGACACGTCTCCCCCACTTACTTTTTCCAACTGTCACATATCAAACATGTGTTTCTTATAAAATAAAAATTTTAAGTATATATTATGCATATATTGATATTGGCATAAACATGATTGTTATTTTCTGATGGAAACAAAATTAAATATTTTTGTATAGTCACATGTATAAACAAGTCAGCTATGTTTAAAATCTTTTTGGATTTATAAAAAATCATGAATTTATATAACATATTCCTCTCTCAATTAGTTTTACTAAGAGATAGTAATAGCTAGGCTAGTTGCTGTTGTATCATGTCACTTACCTAATGACGAGCTTAATTAGGAAATTTCTCTTTTCTCCGGGGGAATCAATTAAGTTAATCATGTATTAATTATGCAGATATTCTATAAATAATACAGAAAAGGGAAAAAGTGAATCAATATTATCGCACTTAACATATCGTGATGGGAGTATCATACCTAATCTAATACTAATCAATCTGAAATTCAAAGAAACACAATATAATCAACTGATCTAAAGCAAACGTATCTATGCAAAATCATTCACTTACTTTACTTCTAATGTTGTGGACACTGGTGATGAAAACTTTTGAGGATTGACTTTATGATCACTGATGATCAAAATTAGAAATATTTAGACGAAGATTCTGATTAGCAAAAACATGTGTATGTACTTTTCCATGCACAAACTGCATTATAAGATGATGGATGTTATAAGCACAACATTATCAAACTATATACATATGCAATAATGTTTCAATTTCATCATGTTGTTGGTTATATGAATCTTCACTTGACCATGTCCTTACATTTAAACTAGCAACAGCACACAAGAAAAGAACAAGTAGAAGCAAAATCATTTACGTTTTTATTAAGCACCCAAGGACGAGATCCGGTGGTTAATGAAGTTGATTAAGAACTCTAAGGTTCAAAACATTAGGTGACTTAGATACATACCTATTGCTAGTTGGAGGTGACACTTGTTGAAATTAGTTAAAACGGTTATCAAAAAAGAAAAAAAAATCATTTCTAGTTTGTAACAAAATGATATTAAGCAAAATCACTTGTACAGATATGAATAAAGAGAGAACTTAACTTATTTTAGATGATCATGTTAGAATAGCCTGTATTTGGTTGATGGATAATAAGGTGTTGCCCTTCATTTTCTCGAGCAATTCTCATTTCATGATCTGAATTTTTAGGTCGAGTTAGACCCAAAGTCCATTTTATTTACATATATACACGAGATATACCTATCATTATTCTCGATTTACATATTATTGGCCATGTTGTCCATGCCCAAATATCTAACCTATCTCTAATCCCATGAATTTGGATTTTCTAGTTCGTTTTGAACTATGAGATGAATAAATCGAAAAAAACTGTGTAATTTGATGAAGTGGGGAAATATAGTTTAAAATTGTTTATGGGGTTTGTTTGATTGATAAATATAAAATGATTTAATTATTTTATCACAGACATCATATTTCAAATATTGATTAAAAGAGTGACTACCATGATTATTAGCAGAAGAAAGTACTAAAAGCAGAACAAGTAATGGAGATGTAGATATGGAAGCAGCAATGTCGAAGTATTCTTCTCAGAACTTGAAAACCCTTTTCAGCATAAAGTCCCCAGTCATTTCAAGAACCATTGTAGCGTTGCCATTTTCAACTTCCCCTTCTTCATCCGCCGCGATTCTCAATGCCAAGAACTGCAGCGAAGCCATGCGGCTTTACGATTCAGCAATTGTAAAAACAGACCCAACAAAGGATCTTACATTACACTCAGCCATTATTCATTATTTAACCCGAGCAAGATTGTATCTTGACGCCAGGTGTTTGATAAAACGACTCATTGAAAATCTTAGAAAAAACAGCAACCCCAGAAAGGTTTGTTCTTTAGTTTTCAATGATCTAGGTAAAATAGACTCTGGGTCTAGCTGTAATGTGTTTGGGGTGTTGATTATTGCGTTATCTGAAATGGGTTTTGTTGATGACGCTTACTGGGTGTACCAAAAGATGGGAAAGTTGCCTCCTTTACATGCTTGTAATGCTCTTTTACATGGGTATGTAAAAATGGGTAAGTTTGAATTCATGTGGGGTATGTATAGGAATATGCTATCCTTTGGGTTATGTCCTAGTGTGGTGACATATGGAGTATTGATTGATGCATGCTGTCTTAAAGGTGAGATTTTGAAAGCTAAAACGCTATATGATGAAATGGCTGAGAAAGGAATTCAACCAAATATTGTGACATATACCACTATGATTCGTGGGTTTTGCAATCAGAATAAGATACAGGAAGCTGAAAGCATGTTCAGCAAGATGTGGGAGATGGGAGTTATGCCTAATCTTTGCACTTATAATACTCTAATGGATGGCTATAGCAAGAAGGCTGATACTGGAAGAGCCTTTCAACTTTATCAAAATATGTTGAAGCATGGAATTCTTCCAAATGTTGTTACTTTTGGTACCTTGATCGATCCGCTTTGTAAAGTGGGTGAAGTAATAACAGCAAGAAATTTATTAGCATGTATGGTAAAGTTTGGGGTAGGTCCCAATTTACTTATCTATAATTGTCTGATTGATGGCTGTTGTAATTGGTATGATATGTCAACCGCACTAGAGATGCATTCTGAGATGGAAAAGTTTGGTATTTCTCCGGATGTTGTGACTTATGGTACACTGATAAAAGGTTATTGTAAGCTGGGGAAAGTAGACGAAGCTGAGAGGTTTTTGCTTAAAATGGACGCTGCAGGGGTCGTCGTGAACTCTGTGATTTACAATCAGCTGATTGATAGGTATTGCAAGGACAGAAATATGGACAAGGCTTTGGCATTGTGTTCTCATATGATAGAGAAAGGTGTCCAGCCCAATGTAGTCACTTTCTCTGTATTGATAGATGGTTTTGGTAAGATAGGGGATCTAGAAGCTGCAATGGGTGTCTATACCGAAATGATTATTAAAGGCTTGAAGCCTGATGTGGTTGCTTATACAGCATTGATTGATGGTCATTTCAAAAAAGGAAACACAATAGCTGCTCTAAGGCTTCATAAGGAGATGGCGGAGGCTGGAGTTGCTCCTAACGCTTTGACTTTTACTTGTTTGGTTGATGGATTTCTCAAGAATGGAATGATTAGTGACGCAATCAATTTTTTCTTGAAAATAAGCAGTTCTGGATCTATAGGAGTCGAAGTAGACTGCAGTAATGGTGTTCTTTCTTTCCCTAATAATGTTACTTATTCTGCGTTAATCCATGGTCTATGCAAAGATGGGCAGTATTTCAAAGCCAATAAGTTTTTCGTGGATCTACGACGCAATGGTCTGTATCCAGATTTATCCACTTATGCCATGATGATACAACGTCATTTCGAGGCCAGGCACATAACTCATGTCATGATGCTAAAGGCAGATATGTTAAAGACTGGTTTTATGCCTAATCTTGTCATGTACAAGATCTTGCTCAAGGGGTACCGAGACATGGTTGATCTCAGTTCAACTCGGAAGTGTTATGAGGAATTAAAAGATTTAGGTTTAGTTTGTTCCGGAGCATCTCCTAATGCAAAACCTCCAGGATCCTGTAAATAGCAGTTCCCTGTTGACTTAACTAATTATTCTGTTAGAGGCATCCTTGTCCGTAAAATTCAGTATCTTCTGAGTTGCACCAGCTTTTTGAGTTGTGCTGATTATAGATGAGTATCTCTGGGGAGCTATCGATTTTGCAGTTAGGGAAAAGAGCGAAGAGCAACTGAAGTGAGCAACCTCAAACTTCTGGATTGGAGCATCACCAAAGCTCAAGTGTCCCCTCGGATTACATCTGCAGCAAAATTTATAGTTTCCAATGGCCATTATCTCGCAGAGGATATGGAGAAGCTGGACCCGGTATTGAAAGAGTTGTCTGATGCTATATGCACAATCAATAAGAGGCAGGAAACGCGAAATGTCATTTCACTGCAGGCAACATGACTGCGAGCCTCCTGGCCTAAGTTGTTTTAGCATCAAGTTTTGGTCTTACAATTCAAGGAGAAAACCATACATCTTGATGATGCAACTTCATAACTGCAAAAAGTGTCCAGGCATTGTTGTAAGTTTCAAACAAATACAACTCCTATTCAAGTATGTGCAGCTAGAGCTGATTTTGAAGCTAAGCGCGCGCAGGTGTAAATTACTAGATACTTCCATTCATGTTTCTTTGGGTTGGAGTTCTTTGTGATATGCTTCTAACTTCTAAGATCTGTTTGAATATACTGTAGTTCCTCTCCTAGTTGGCTAGTTTCACATAGTATATACATACAGATTCAAGTCCCACAAAAGAAAAAAAAAGATTAAAACGACTTTATCCAATCTTAACTAACTAATTATAATCAGAACTTTCTATAATAATCCTCTATAATATATTTTATTATATTATATGTTTCTATGCAGCCAAAAAATTATCTGAACAAATGATGTAGTTATAAAGAAGTTTGATAGTAATTTCTTAGTTTCTTATGGATATATGAATTCCATTTAGGTGGAGCCCTATCAAATTGGGGATGGATATTACTCATTATACTATAAATTTAATTAATTGGTTTTTGATTATGTCAATTGTCAATGTCGACATAACGATATATATAATAGGGAAGACGTGAAAATGTTTGATAACATATTTTATTAAACCCAATAATATTTTAGTGTTTAAATATATGGAGAATTGTTTGACGTGAGCCCTCATGATTGGTAGAAAATTCTCCAAAATTAAAAAATGCAGATACAAGTCATAACATTCTATATGATAATCCAAGTGGATATTCAAGTCATTTTTTTCTTCATTTTAAAATCCACATCTCTTTTTCTTAAATTTAAGTTAAATCATAGAAAGATCTTGAGAAATTTAAATTAAAAAAATGCTATAGATTCCAAAATTCAAATCTTGAAATAAATATATAAAAGTAAAAGAACAGCATATCGACAAATTTTGTTCATTATCTTAGGATTAATGTATGTAACGTGCACTTCTCAATTCTATATTTATCATATATATATATATATATATATATATATATGGTGACATCGGGAGGTTAACTTTTTTCTATAATAAATATGGTTACTTTTGGCAAAATTGATATATAGATCAATTGATGGTAGTAAACAAGCAAAATATATACTCCACATCCCAAAAAGAGATTATTTTCTTGTTAGTCCGTTACTTCCTAAAGAAATATTTTCTAATCTTTTCGTTTACGTCTCATGATAAATATATCAAATTTTATATTCGTACAAAAATATAGTATGACAATTTTAAGATCACACATTTTGAAAGACTTATAATCACATAAATATTATAACATATTTGAACATCAAGTATTAATTTTTTTTTTCTTGAATTTCATACTCGGTTTTCATACTCGGTGAACTTAACGTCATACGAATTGAAATTTAAAAGAATATTCCATTGTTTAGGGAAATCAGTGTATATTCTATAAGAATTTAGTAAATGTTTGGTTGAAATGGATTTTTTGTTAGTAATTGAGTATTATTTCTTTTTGTATGTACCTCATATGTTCTTATCTAATGATTTAAACGAAGAAGAATCTTTAACACTGTTTTCATTGTGACGAAAACGAATATTTATTATATTGTTCCTTGTATATCAGCCAACAGATTGTAATCGTGTATTTTTTATTGAAAAATAATAATAATCAGTAGTGGGGTGAGTATGACAAAAAATAAGAATATATTGTGGCGTCACAATAGAATGTTTGTCCCAAAAGTTAATTAACAAATTGACATGTGTAAAAATCTAATGCTACCTAAAATTCACTGTTTTATAATTAGGGATTCTGGCACACACTTTGAAAGTAGATAAGTCCTCACACGATTGTGATATTTTGAGATGATATAAGTGGTATAGGGTAGAGCGGGGCGGACAAGGTAGGACGAAGCAGAACAAGACGAGAGTTAATTTAAATCGTTTTATCTTATTTAGATTTGTTTATTACTTATGATCGACATCGTCTTAGGTAGATAGTAATAGTAAATTATGAAGAGTAAAATAGCGTGATTGAGATTTTAACTTGCTTGATTCAACCTCTATTAACATTATATTAAAACTAAATATTTGATTAGGTATAAATTTAATGAAGTAGATAAGTCCTCATGGCTATGATATTTTGAGATAATATAAGCGGTATAGGATAGAGCGGGGCGAGACAAGGTAGGACAAAGTGAAACAGGACGAGAGTAAATTTAGGACAAGGTAGGACGAAGTGAAACAGGACGAAAGTGAATTTAAATCGTCTTATCTTACCTTGTTTAGATTTTTTTATTATTTAGAATTGATTCGTCTCTGTTAGGTAGTAACAATAAATTATGAAGAGTAAAATAGCGTGATTGAGATTTTAACTCACTTGATTTAACCTCTATTAATATTATATTAAAAATTAATATTTGATTAGGTATAAATTTGATGAAGTAGATTATAAGTACTCACACGTTGTGATATTTCAAGACAATATAAGCGGTATAGGATAGAGAGGGCGGGGACAAGGTAGGACGAAGCAAAACAGGACGAGAGTGATTTAAAATCGTCTTATCTTACTTTGTTTAGATTTGTTTATTATTTAGGATTGATTTCGTCTTTGTTAAGTAGTAATAGTAAATTATAAAGAGTAAAATAGCGTGATTAAGATTTTAACTCGCTTGATTTAACCTCTATTAACATTATATTAAAAATTAATATTTGATTGAATATAAATTTGATGAAGTAGATAAGTCCTCACACGTTGTGATATTTTGAGATAATACAAGTGGTATAGGGTAGAGCGGGCAAGACAAGGTAGGACGAAGCTAAACATGACGAGATTGAATCTAAGTCGTCTTATCTTATCTTATTTAGATTTGTTTATTATTTAGGATTGATTGGTCTTTGTTAATGTAAGAATAGTAATAATGAAGAGTATCATCCAAAAAAAAAAGTAATGATGAAAAATAGTAAAATAGTGTGATTGAGATTTTAATTCGCCTAATCTGACTTTTTTAACATATATATTAAAAAAACATTTATTTGGGTATAAACTTGATGAAGTATAACATAGGTGGTGATATTAGTTAATTTATCTTTCCAATTAATTTGATATACTTTTAGTTAAAATGACACATATTTTTGTAACTTGTTTTGTTCCATGCTTAGTGGGAGCAAATGATCATAATAAAAAACTTTATGAAACAAAAGTTGTTTTCCTCCTCTTTTTTTTTTCTAGACATTAAAATAACAAAATGTCCACAACCATTTCTTTTGTGTGTGGAAAATATTACTATATGACATGTAAAATACTTGAAAGTCTTTGACTATCACAAAGAGAGAGATTAAGAAAATTACAAGTCACATCTCATATCGAAGTGGATATATAATACTTCCTCGATTCAATTTATTTGTTCAATTTTAATTTGATTAGTCATTAAAATAAATTTTATTATTTCAACTTAAAATATATAAAATATATTATATCTTTTAATAGAGTGAACTTAAATATATTGTGTAAAAAATTAAAAATAAAGCTTAGCTTTAAAAAAAAAGAAACAAATTAAAATGTTTGCATTTCGATTGATATGGTTCGATTTTGAAGTTTATCGGTTTGACTTATTGATTATTAGTTAGAGATGTTAAACCGTTATAGAACCATTAAAATATTGACTTATCAGTTATTGATCATTATTAGTTCGGTTGTCGTTTAACTGTCAAGACTTAACAAAAAAAATATAAAATCACTTAAAAACAAGGTGACTAACCAAATGAACCATGCACATGAGTTCACAAGTTACATCTTTTTTAAAAACAAATACTTTTACATGACGGAATAACCAAGAGTTTGGGACAATCAAAAATAAAAGTAGAAAACCAAACTCTAAGTCAAGGACTTTATATACAAAATGGTTTAAATATAATTATCAAACATATTATCGCGTTATCAATTAACCCGTTAAGAAAAAATTTAAAACCGTTAAAAATTGAAAAACTTGATAATAAATAAATCAGATTGTTATCAAAACGCAAAACCAATAACTTTTTTTTAGTTTAAACTATCGATTTCGATTCGATTTTGAAGAATGGAATACATTTTTTGACAAAATATAGTTTGGTTGATTAGGATGAGGTTGACTTGAAATTTTTTGTTGTGTTTAGGAATAAAGGGAAATGAGATTAATTGAAGTGACCCTTTTAGAACATTAAGAAGAATATGAGTGTACCTTTAATTTTCTCTCCCTTTTTTTTTATCATCAAAAGAGGAATATTACCTGATTTTACTATTACTTATAAGAGGAAAATTTCTTTGGAAAATACTATCAAATAATGCCAAGATTAAAAGGGCAATATTCTTGCTTCTGTCACCAATCGACAAAAAAGGTAGCTAGATGCACTAAAGCTCCTGTTATGCACAGGATCCAGAAAAGGATTCGATCAGAAGGATTTATTATACACATAATCTTATATTGTTTATCAATCGAACAACTATTAATAAAAAGATCGAAGCACAATTAGTATATGAAATAATATTTTTGAATCATGACATATAACTAAACACAAATAGTAGAGATGGAATAGAGTTTAGTTTTTCCATAGAAAAAAACAACAGTGAAAAGATCACAGTCACCAACTTTTGATCTCCCACAGTTTCATGCTTACACCATTCAGTACTATTTATATAACTTCAACATCACCATCTAATAAGTTGCCCAGAAACAAAAAGCAACAAAACATTAACATACTAATAGTATTTTATGCGATAGATTTAACTTATATTCACTGACAGTATAAACGAATCTTTACACCATCAGTGCAACAACCCTGGTGCCATAAGCTATATAATACTGTCTGCAATAACTAAAGTTGTACCTCTTTCCTGCTCTTTTTTCTGTTTTTTTTTTTTTTCTGTTTTTTGGGTTTTTTGACTTATTTGGCATTCTTGTTTCAAGATAATTCAGCAACTCCAGAGACAATCAAGACCCTGTAATCCAACCATACCTGCTGATGGCACCTGATCTTCAAGAAACCTTCTTTTCATTTCAAGATTTGATACGACTGAGGTGATATCAGTATTCATGTCAGTGCTAATTACCCCTGTTTCTTGGGGTACATTAAAAATGTCCTCTTTCTTGAAATTCAGACCATAGCTGTCAAGTGAAGTCCTTAGAAGAATTGAAGGATCTTGAACCCCAAATGAAGCTGGATTATTAGTAGTAGTGAATGGAGCTATTTGGTTACAAGAAAATGTATTTGGAACAAGAGAAGTTGTAGGGTAACTATCCATTGGATTTGACAGAAGAGGGAAACAGTTGTTTTGAGCAGTGAGAAAATTGGAGAAGCAGTGCACGTGGCTGGATTTCGAAGCAGTAGCAGTAGCAGAATCTGTCAATGGTGGCAGAAATGAATTCCCCATTTCATTTTCATTAGAATTCAGTTTCAAAAGCCCTGAAATGTGGATTTTCTTTCCACCACTGCTCTTTTGAAACACTCTGCAAATCACCCATTCATTCTACAAAAAAAGAAGAAAAAAAAAAGGAATCTTGATTAAAAACACAACGATAAACATATAGAGAACAGAATGTACACAGACCTTATCTGCTTGAATGTTAGATTATGTGTACCTTTGCTGTCTTTGGCAGATTTTGAAGAGACAATTTTCCTTCTAATCTAAATTCATGAATAACCCAATTTGTCTTTTCACCTTTTGGAGCTCTCCCTTTGTAGAAAACCAGAGTTTTCTTCATACCAACCAATGATTTTCCCCTGAAAATCTCTCTGTCTTTTCCAGTAGCTTTCCAATACCCTGCAGCAGTTGCCCTGTTTGTTCTCAGCCCTGTTGGATACTTCTTGTCTCTCACACAGAAAAAATACCATTCTTTTTCCCCCATTTTCGCCTTCCCTACATTCAAACACAACAACAAAAAATCAAGCTGAGGTCGGCTATATGAATCTCGCTTCGTTAAAAAAAAAAAACCTTACATGGAAGGTCCCAAGGTTCAACTTTGTTCAAATCAACATCACCAATAGCAATAGCAACGAAATTAGTATCCACAACTTTGTTAGACAAATAATGAGTGATCAATTCTTCATCAGTTGGATGAAATCGAAATCCAGGTGGTAACTCCATCTGATCATCATCCTTAACAACTCCTGAATAATTCTCCATCACTACAATTTATGCAAAAAATTAATTTTACACTAGAATTTTTTTCATGAGTCACCAGCTGGCTTTGAAATAAAGTGATAAAAATTGTTTTTTTTTTTTTGCCAAACAAGTATAAGAAAAACCAGGAGCTAAAATAGTAAATCAAGAATGGAGAAGATGGAAAAATTAAGGATAGAGAGAATCCATGGGAACTAACCTGAAAGATTGAAAAAAAGAAGTAACAAGAATACAAGGCCATAAATAGAGTTTTTTGTGTGAGATAGATACGTGAAGTTAAAGGAACTTATAACTATGGTGGGGTGGGTGGGGGGGTGGGGGTGGGGTTGTTTAGGTCTTCTTCTCTTCAACTCTTGCTAACTATGATACAAATGTATAATTTGACCAAATACAACTCATCCCTAAAAGTTAAAACCATGCATGTAACAATTTTCAACTGCTTTTGTCATTTTTATTATATGTTCATATTTATATAAGATTATATATAGTTACTACTACTTTTTATTTTATAACTATGGTATTCAAGTCAATTGACTAATTAATTTAATGGGGGTATTTGTAAAAACAAATTATTTATCTAATTAAGATTTGAATTTGAGATCTTTATCGTTGTATCGCATGTTTGAATGCAAGTATACAAATTTAGTTTAAAGTATGTCACATTGGATGAAAAAAAACCATGTAGCTAGTACATATAGTTAAATTTTTCTATTGTAATAGTATTGTTATTAATTTGTTTCATTATATTTTAATTACTACAACAAAATGTTTAGTGAAATGTTGTTATAAAGAATACGTGTTAATAGAGGGATCATTATACTAATGGGATAAGTTTTAGTTTTGTTAGTATATTGACTTTAAGATTGTCGTATTTTTTTATTTTTGGATTGAAATGTAGTTATTTAGTATCATATTAATTTGTGTTTGGAACTTCCACAGTGTGAATAGTTTTTTTTTTTCCCCTTGCAGTGTGAACAGCTATGTGAAGGCTAAAAATGTTGTCTTCATGGTGGTTCCAACTGTATACCAGAACCATCCAACGTGACTTAATATTAAGTTGTTAAAAAGCAATTAAGAGAGCTTTAAATATGTATCTACTATCTTATTTTCCCAAATTAACTTTCATTAAGCCAAAAAATTAAAATTATATCACATACACTGACATCATGTATAAACACTAAAAATACTATTGTGTAAAGCTCAAAAGTCGAGTTTTATGTATAAAAAAATATTATTGAGAGCATTGCCCCAGAATAAACCCCACATATAATGTTGGATTTGTATATAATCGAGCTTTAATAAGGATATCAGTCAGTAGATGAAAACAAAAAACACTTACAAGTATATACAAAATACTTCAAGGTATGTGTGAAAAGGACTATGTATCTTCATATAATACATACAAAATTAAGGGTATACATGATGTAACTGAAAATAGATATTAAATGTGATTAATCAAAGTGAATGTGACAATTCTAATAAACACAACTTAATTTGTGCAGACCAGCATTGCGCAGAATCTTCATGCTGTTAGCTTTCAATTTAGCCAAGTCCACTCTTGCCATATCAAATATACAATTTGTCAATAAGTTTTTAAAGTTATTTAAAGTCTGTCACACTTTTAATTGGAAATATTATTTGTACTTAGAAATAGACCCATCTCAAGGCTCTATACTCTAATTATCTAAGCCCAAAGGAACTTCCCTATCTATTTTCACTTTGATGCTCAATTAGGGGCGGAGGCAGAAGTCTATAAATTATACATCTCGATTGGTTAAATTTAATTTATTTTTTTAAAAAAATTATTAAATTTAAATTCAATTATTTAGCGCTCAAATTTTATTTTTCTATAATTCAAAATTCATAAAGTTCAATTTGTTGTTAATTAAAAATTTTCTTCACCAAGGGTGTCAAATGACATTTTGGTAAGGTCAAAATGGGCTGGTCACAGATTACTTGAACTAAAACGGATTAAGTCAAAATGAACAAAATAATGGTTCATATTTCAATTTGAACTGATCAAATGATGTTTGTATTTTTTATGATTTCTTTTAATTAACTATTAATTTCTTTCGTTATTATATATATATATATATATATAACATATTAAAAAATATTTTTGTAAAATTCTTTTGATAAGTTTTCTTATGTTGGAAATTAAAATATATGAATAGTTATTCATTAATGCGGGCAAATTTAAATGGATTGGACAAATTTACCTCTCCTACTTTATATTATCAAGTATATGTATTAGTTAGAAAGTTAATTATCATTTAGCTAAATTTATGGGAAGTCATATGGTTACAATATGGGTCTAGGAAGTTCAGCTAATTGAAGATACTCTTTTGGACTCAACTTGATTAATTGTCTTTATGTAGATGCAAAAAAAGATAAGTATTGAAGTCATCTTTGTCTTTATAAAAAATACTTTGTTATGGTGGGGGTTGTTTAAAAGATGAGTGTAGCTATATTTCATGTGGGACTTATGCTCATAGTACTTTTGGGCCACTTTTACTATTACTTGCATGTAAATGACAAACAAATTAAAATTGTTCTAGCAAGTACCTTTACCATAATGATATTTGTAAGTCCAAATTTTTTTTGGTTTTAAGAAGAATTGACTTCAGGATCATTTGTGTGAATGACCATCCTCCAAACTAATTGAGTTATCCCAAAGGATATTTTGATAAGTTTTGTATAGGTTAATTTAGCGTTCATATGCAATATAAATTGACGCTTTAAGAAAGATTGATTTCAGAATTATTCGTGTGAATGACCACCCTCCAAACTAACGGAGTTAGAATACCTACCTTTACCCACCCAAAGTTTGAGCAAGTTGGCCATTTGCTTTAAAAGAAAATGAGAAATTGAAATCCGTTTTGTTAATTTCCAAAAGCAAAATTAAGAAAAAAAAATTATAAAAGAATTAATGAATTTCTTATTATGCATGCACCAATTGTATAATCACTTTTGAAGCTTATGAAACAGAAAAAAAATGTGATAGAGAACACTTTATTCCATTTATTATGCTAGAAAGATACATAATTGTTGCACAATACTAAGAAAATTCCAGCTTTACAATGCAAATTGATTTTGTGTAAATGTCTATATCTCTATATACTTCATCAATCTCAAAATATTTATTATATTTTTTATTTACACAACTCTTAAAAAATACTACTATTAATTAACTATGAGAGATGTTTAACTTTTTTATCCTTATTTATATGTTAAATGTATAAGCCTTATTTATTTATACTTAATAGATGTCCTCTTAAGTGCATCTGTTTTCATTAAGATTTATATACTTAATTGGTCTTCAACTCTTCATAGATTTTTATCATTATAATCTTGAATAAGTAATATTTTCGTGTGGAATAATATTCTCTATCACTCTATCAACAATCATCAGTCGATCACCTTCATTAACCACATCTATCATCATAATCACCACACACATTGTAGACCACCTACTACCATCGTAGACCACCTACTACCATCGTCAAGTTCCGACCACCTTTGCCATCACGATCATCACTATTAATCACTATGCATATTTACCGCATTTATCATTATAATTATATCAATTACCATCATCATTATTGCCACCACCATCTCCCATTACTATCACCTCTACGGTAAATTAATTCCTACTATCAATCAAATCTACCATCTCAATTAACACCACTGCCAACTATCATCAATCACCACATATTTTTTCGACATCAGCATCTCTGTCGTTACCGCTACTGTCACCGTCACCGCTACTGATACCGTCACCTATATATCTTTCTATTGACACATTGAAGCGGACAAAACATAATAAAAATTTATTATAATATACCATAGATAAGTAAAAATAAACTGTAATCTTATAAAAACCACTTTTTCCATTTTCAAAATAATCTATAGGCGTACAAAAAAAGTTAAAAACTCTTTTCTTTTGAGTATAAATATAAATGTATATACTAGAAAACCAATTATGGAAGGGACAAATGTCAAAGTTTACCTTTAAAAGGAAAATGTAACCTCTTTTGATACTCCATTTAAAAAGTAGTTTAAATAGTCAAACTATAGCTCGTAGGATCAGAGTACAAAAAGGCATCTCAATGAAGATAAAAAAGAAAAACTTTAGTGCCGCCACAGCCAATGAAGAATTTAAGAACCTCACGCAACTTATACAAATTTAAATTACCATGATATTTGATTACAAATCGATCAAATTTTAATAAAAAAATTAATAGTATAAATAGAAAATTCAGTGTATTTTCATAAATAAAATATACGTAGATTTTATTTTTATCACGTAGAGATAGTATAAAATATGCAAATATACAACTATAGTCTATATTTTGGTGCACTAGCCAACTATCACTATAAGATGGTGATTGAGTAGTGTGTTTTGTCTTCTTATTGATGCTAAGCTTTTTTGATGGTGTATCTATATTTTGTTGAGGTCTAAGACTATATTGCACATCACTTTTATATGATTAGGAGATCATATTATATGTTTTATTAGGTACGTGGCATACTTATAATATTTAACTGCGATTAATTATAACTCTCTCTTTTAACCAATGGATACAAAAGTGCCAGCTTCACAATTCTCATGATCCTGAGGTTAGTGAGTTATTTTGACTACATATCATTGAATAAACACGTTCCAATTATTTATTGACACCTAAATTAAAAGAAAGTTGACGAGGTGGGAGAAGGGGAGTGAAATCAAACTCTCATCAATAACGTAAAGTTCAGATAATTAACAAACTGAACACCTAAGATTATATTTGTCGTTTAATGATTAAGCAAGTAATTAACAAATTTCACTAAGCTATTAAGTGCAAATGTTAGCGGTAAGAAAAAACAGTTAAATCTATTGCTTTTTAGATATGAATCTTAATATCTTATGCTTAAATTCTTTAAAATTACTTTTTTGTGAAGTGGACAATAGAACAGCGTAGCACTCTCACCCACTGAAGGAAAAAAAGCTCAATTATTTGAATATATGTTTGGTTCAACTAATGAAGCAATGATATCATGTTAGTGTTGAAATACACTAGTATTACAAATATTACAAGTATAATAATTAATTTCTTAAATCGGCATATTAAATCAAAACTACACAAACAAACTGAAACGGAAGAATCAAAATTGATATATGATGGATTTGCTACTACTTATAATTGATACCTTATAAAACAGAGAGGAAAATTCAAGAACTTGATGCAGTATGGATTAACCATTTATAATGAATCCAGAACATATTATACTTTTGATGGTCCTCTTTCGTTCCTTCTCCAAAAAAAAGTGTTGAAACGAATGTAACATGTACGATTTTATACGATACAGTTCATGTTTATATACATGTGATTGCGTTTTCTGTCAAGTCAAACAATATTCAATGATCCAGCTAGCTAAGTGTTTGATTAGGTTCTTCAGTATAATATTTAAAATTTCACTAATTATTCACATACCGAAAATTGTATATATTTGGTTAAGCATGGAAACGTGTTATATGTGTTTGTTATGGCCTAAAGAGAATTCCCCACTTAATCATTGTGTAGCTTAAACGGGAGTCAATTTATAGAAGCTACAAGGATCGATCTATGATGGTAACGTACTTGAAGTGGGCTAACGTTGGTAGGATATTCAACATGAAACAATAAGAATTAGATTAGACCTAGTCATAAAGAAAAACAAATAAATTTTTAGTTGTAGGATACCTATACTATAATTCCTTGTTATCCTTCCTTCCGTCGAATTTCGAGTTTATCTTTTGATTATAAGTTCTTCGTAGGTCTTTTGAACATTTTAAGTTACCAATTATAATGACTTATAGTACTTTTTATGTTTGTATCTTTTTTTTTTAAAAAAAAAAATAATATATTTTTACCAAAAAAAAGTAGATCTTCCGCAGAAACGATATTTGCTGGAAAGAATAAAAAAACTGGCCCATGCAGGTCTCGAACCTGCGACCTTCGCGTTATTAGCACGACGCTCTAACCAACTGAGCTAATGGGCCAGATGTTATTCAATTGTCGTATATTTATCAAGTAGAATCAAAAGCATCAACTGTTCTGTTACAAACCATGAGCTAATAATCAAACATATTTCACTTATATAAGATTTTAGATAATAGGCCCTTTAACCCTTCGAAAAAGATTAAGAAATAAATCCAAATATTCACCATAACCCTACCTCTGATATTAGAAAAAAAACAATTTTTTTTTTTTTTTTTTAAAAATAATCTCTTATGATCACTTACAAATTGAATATTAAAAAAGTGACTTTTTTATATTTCTTACAAGCACTAATAACAATTTATCTCGTAAAAAGACATAAAATTGTAGAAAGTTGCAAAATCAAATCTGCGTAGCGGAAAGTGGACCCTTTATGTTGTCATGTTTTTCCCATATCACAAATTAAAGATATTAATAGTAGTATATATACTTACTTCTGTAATAAATAAAGTTATAAAAAGAGTCATCTTTAATTATTGAGTCGAATGAAAATAAGAAACATGCATGGTGGCATGAAGATGTTTGCTTCGATAAAAATGGTAAATAGTTAGTGGAATTCTTATCCAAATAATAAAAGAGACAAAGTCTACTTACTACACAGTGAATAAACTAACAGCCAAATATGCCTAAAACTCATAATAATATAACACTGATTGGCATGTTCCCATTTTTTGGATTCTTTGTATCTCATCATCTGTTTTAATCATCTAAAACTTGACAAAAATACAAGAAATGTCAATTCAATTACACACCTTGGGTTAAGGATGAAGTATTTATCATTCCATCACAACTCTTGTTGGTCCATCAAATCATTTTTCAGCGATAGTAAATAACTTATTTTATTATCAACATTGTAAATCTTATATTTTAAGAAAGCATACATGTAAATGTCAAAAAAAATGTACGTTCAAATAAGTTTGAATCCAATATATGCGTGTCTAAGTTGAATCCTTTAACTTGATCACTCCTCAGCTTTAAAAGGAAACACAATTTTCATTGGCCTTCCTTCTTTCCTGGTCAAAAAAGCCTGAAATCTGAATATTTTTGCCTTTTTTAGTATTTAAAATGTGTGATTGTTTCTTCTTCCATTAATTTACGGAAGAAAACACCAATCTGCAGTTGCGTCCCCCTAAATCTCTCTCTATCTATTGGAAAAAAAAGTTGATTCTTTATCCCAAAGTTAAGGTAATTAACTGTTAGATAGTACTATAAGTCTAACAACTCCTAGAACTAATTTCTTTTAGTGTCAATGGCAAGTTCATTGAGCAGTGGTTTCTCTGTTTCTGGCCCCTGTTTCAATTCCAGAGCCAAAGGGTCTGCTCATCATTGCTATTCAAATGGAAATTTGCAACTTAAAGATTTAACATCTAGAGAATTTCTAGGCAAATCCTTGAATGTATCAGACCATATACAGGTGCTTTTTATGTTTCATTCTTGTATTTTTCCCTTCTTTTTTTGAGTTTTCACTTTTGAGATCAGCAAGTGTTTTGCCAAATGTTTCAGGCACTAGAAGAAATTTGTGTTGAAAGTGGTCAGGGATGGTGGGAGAAGACACTTAAACCCAACATGGTAGAGATCAATTCAGCACAACAACATGTTGATTCATTGTTAAAGGCTGGTGATAGATTAGTCGTAATTGACTTCTACTCTCCTGATTGTGGAGGTTGCAAGACTTCACATCCAAAGGTATGGTACCAAAATGATCAAGGTATTAGTTTTTTGCAGCTGTCGTAGTCTTGGTTGATAGAATTACCTGATATTTTTGTTGGTTGAGGCGTGCCCAAGCTGAATCACACACCACAGCAGTTCTGAATGCAAATTCTGACACCTGATAATAACATCACTATTGTTACTTGATGTGTGAGTCAGCTGAATCAAATCCCAATGCCATATTCCTAAAAGTAAACTATGAAGAACTGAAAAGCATGTGCAATGTTCTGCATATCTTGCCCTTCTTCAGATTCTACAAGGGTGCACAAGGCAAAGTTTGTAGCTTCAGCTGTACTAATGCAACAGTAAGTTTTTGTAAAACAATCTTTGATTTGTCCCGTGAAGTGTACTTTCTAATTGTTGAACTTGTATATATGCAGATAAAGAAATTTAAAGATGCAGTATCAAGGTATGGGAATGAAGGGTGTGGCTTCAGTCCAGCAACAGCTCTTGAGGAATCTGAGCTTTTAGCTTTGGCCTCAATTGGACAAAAATAAAAATTAAAAAAACCATCATTTGATTCTCCAGTATTCAGGAGTACAATCTTGAAGCACAAAGTTGTTCATGACCATGAAAGAACAGATATTAGTAATATTAAGTGATTAGATGGTCTTTACAACAGGACATTTGGTAGGTATATCAACAAGAAAAGGGGTAAGTAAACAAAATATTCTTAGATTCTGTGACTAAATATCAATGGGAAAAGGTCAAAATTAATTGGAAATAGACTTCTCTACAATATGTTAATATTGGTTGCTACACTTAATTTGTACATTGGTATAGGCACCTCTACAATAGGCTGATTATACTGATGTAGATTATAATGTAAAATAGCATTACTACAAGATGTGAAGCTTTTTGATAAATAATTAAACAATTCATAGATTACAACTCAGTCTCAAACTAATTGAACAAAAATATATTTACATCACTTGCTAGAAAAAATTCCAACTTGGACAACATGTATAATCAAAACATTGAAAATCCCGGCATTGCAGGAACTGTGGAAAACACATCTGTGGGAGTAACTAGAGGACCATAAATATCACCCAATTTTTAGAGTGATCCATCACTAATCCTAATAAATTTGCTGCAACAAACTAAAATAATGCATCAAAAGTAAATGATGGCGAGGGATTATCATGGTAGTTTAAGATCCAGCAGTCCATTCTTACCGATAACAAATCCATCTGCAAGAAGAAAACCCACCAAGTTCGAAGACAAATAGATGATAAAACCAATGTATCTGATTATTTTTGGTAAAAAAAGCCTTCATCATATGTAAGAAAGTTTATCACATGTGACGCCACCGGAGCCCAACATATAAGAAGGCTTCAACAGATAGCAACATTCGAATCTCCGTTCTTAATTGACAATCATCAGGCTTGTACCAAAAGAAAAGGTAAAAAATAGCTGCAAAAAGATGATAATGGAGGAAGTAAAAAAATATCCCACACGAGAGAGCAACAGATCAAACTAAAATGACATAAATAAAATAAAAATTGTGCCTCAGAGGTAGTGACAATTACGTAAAATCATCATCTTTACATATCAAGATAATACGTACAAGAAACATCACTGGCACTTTTAGACAATGTGAAAAAAAGAACTTGTGTGATTAACCAAAGATAAAGGATAAATTGTGTTTACTGCAACCCCTCAAAAATTAAAGAAAACAGAACAACATCGTATGTGTATTAACTAGTGGTCTTAGAATCCTTCATTCTGAATTATGATGATATGAACCACAAAGATACAATTTCAAAATAACAAAGACATAGGAGCAGCATCAGAGAAAAGTAAAAAAAAATCAAATGCTTAACTTGCTGAGATGATTGATAGTTCCAATCACTTGCGATCACCTCGTATGTAACAAATGCAACAGTATCAATGTCCTAAGTTCTAACTAGATATGCAATGTGATTGGTGTGCAAAGCCAACAAATAACAGCTGATATGAAAATAACAGGACTAGAGATACACAACAGGAACTGCGGCAATGGTAGTGCAGTGTACACAGTTGAAAATAACACAAGTATCAAGCATCAGAGAGATTCCCATTGACAAATCATCATTCCCAAGAGGGTGCTGATGTCCCTGTCTATTCTATCATCATTGCAAGAACCAAACACAAATAGTAAAGAGGTATGTGTATTTAATTGGTAGCCTTAGAGAAGTAAGGCTCACACAATATCATCTTTCTTAATTCTGAATTCTGATATTATGGACCACAAAGATACAATTTAAAAAAAACAAACCCAACTAGCCAAAGGAGCAGTAAAAGAGAAAAGTTTGAACATTCCCAGTGACTAATTTGCAATGTGATTTGGCGTGCAAAGCTCACAGAGTTTTATAAGAGAGCTTGTTCAAGCAATAAATTAATCACCAATTATAGGTTAAGGAAATGCATAACTAGAAATACATAACAGGAACTACAGCAATGGCAGTATCCACAGTTGAAAATAAGATAAATGTCAAGCATCAGAGAGATTCCCATCGACAAATCATCATCCCCAGAGGGTGCTGATGTCCCTGTCTGTTCTATCATCATTGCAATGACCAAATGAGGGAAAAACTGAAAATGGTTAAAGATTATGACGAGTTCATAGTTAAGATAAACAAGTGTATCCCTCATATCAAATTCTTTATAAACCATCCGCCAAAAATGCAACATGACTATAAGCATTGAATTAGCAAATTAAATAGGATCCAAAGCAAGCTATTTCAAAATCATAATCTTGACAACTGCCCTGCGGAATACATATATAATAATAACCAAGACTCTCACTACTGGAAAAGCAGAGGCATAATGAATTTCAAAAAGAAAGTCAGCGAAAGTAGTAACATTTTGAAATTCTTATGTATTATATAAAGCTTCTTCCTTTAGCAAAAGGATATCAGACCCATTAATTAAACAAGCAAAGATGGATCGCAAAAGTTCACGAATACACAAGGAATTGATAAAGCCTCAAGCCTCAGATTACAAGTTGTTTCATAGTGAAATACTCAAAGTATATTTAATGCCATCATAGGCAGAGGCGCATAGATTTGAGCTGATAAATGAAGCAAAGAAACAAAATTTACCACAAACTGAGGGACACAAGTGAATTTCTACAAAAAAAAAAACAACTAAGAATCACAACAACAAAAACACAAAGACTATATAAAGACAATAACTGTATCTAAACTGATGAAAAAGAAGCAAATGAGAAGTCGATACTGGAAAAGATTTGGAATGGTGGTGGCTAGGGTTCTTGTTGAGCGAATGGTTCCATTTTGGGATTTTATAGGTGTCACTACAGACTCCGGAGGATTCGAAACTAGGGTTAACTTAAGAATAATTTTACCAAGTTACCCCTTCAACTGTTTGGATTCTACTTTTCCTGCTTTATTTATCAAAAGAATATCCACATTATCTCTCTCAAGTATTTTAACTTTTTGTTCTGGTTCAAAATTCGTGTTAGAATCTGGATTAAATTTAAATTACAATGTAACATTCATTGTAGGTGATACTCCCAACTGAATTTTCTCTATATTCACAATTCAAATTTGAGATCATTTAAGTGTGGAGTAGTTCTACCACTATACTATAACCAGTGGCGTAAGTAGAATATTTTGCAAGCAGTGTCACCTTTATGTATATATATATATATATATATATATATGAAAACTCACATTTACTATTATATCTATTCCAATAAACGATTTTAAAAAATAAAACTTTTTCGAGATAATTTTTATTTTAAAAGTAACCTCATTAAATATTATAGTGCTACATATTTATTATTATATAAAATAAAATATCAAAAAAAAAAGCAAAGGAAGGACAAAAAATAAGAAATTACTAAATATTTAATTTTATAGAAAATACCAAAAAGAAAAAAATAAAATAAGGAAGAGCAGAAATAATGAAAGAAGAAAAAAACATCCCATATAAATTTTCGCTTACTAGATTTCTTATCGCCTGAAATCTCCATGTGAGACATGTTTTCTTACTAAAGACTTATTACTAACCAAATGTCAAATTCTTATTCGACAACAGCAGATTTCCCAATGGCAAATATTTTGGTCCCTTCTAACAAAGAAATAGATTCTTTGGATCATAGCCACAAAGATAAGGATAACACACATTTCTTCTAATTGGCTACTCTCTAATTCACAACCCAATCCCAGTCGTCAAAATTCCCATTCAAATACAAGCACATTTTTTGCATACACACAAGTAAACATCAATTATATTCATAACATAAGACTATAAAATGGCCACTGTAACAACGCAAGCCTCCGCCGCGGTCTTCCCTCCATCCGCCACTAAGACAAGGTTCCTCAACGGATCATCCGGTAAACTAAACAGAGATTTCTCTTTTAAATCATCAACGTTGTCTTACAATTCATTCAAAGTTGAAGCAAAAAAAGGTGAATGGCTTCCAGGCTTAACCTCTCCTACTTACCTTAATGGAAGGTAATGTATGTACATTTCAATACAAAATCATGATAACAAATGTGTCATTTGTCTTTGCTTCATACAGACTACTAAACAACTTGTAATATATAATGGTTTGTTGTAGTCTTGCGGGTGACAATGGTTTTGATCCATTGGGACTCGCGGAGGATCCGGAGAACTTGAGATGGTTTGTTCAGGCTGAGCTAGTGAACGGTCGATGGGCTATGTTGGGTGTTGCAGGGATGTTACTACCTGAGGTTTTCACTAGCATTGGCCTTCTTAACGTACCAAAATGGTACGATGCTGGAAAATCAGACTACTTTGCATCATCGTCAACATTATTTGTGATCGAGTTCATCTTGTTTCACTACGTTGAAATTCGACGTTGGCAAGACATTAAGAACCCTGGAAGTGTGAACCAAGATCCTATTTTCAAGAGCTACAGTTTGCCTCCTAATGAAGTTGGTTATCCAGGTGGCATTTTCAACCCACTCAACTTTGCACCCACATTGGAGGCAAAGGAAAAGGAAATTGCTAATGGTAAGTCAATAATTAACACAATCATCAGCTCCGCGTGTGTATTATTATTATCGATGTATATAAGTTAAACTGTTTCTGTGGATTTGCAGGGAGATTGGCAATGTTAGCATTTTTGGGATTTATAGTGCAACACAATGTGACAGGAAAGGGACCATTTGACAACTTGTTGCAGCACATTTCAGACCCATGGCACAATACCATTATCCAAACATTTTCCAACTAATATGTAATCATGAGTTAGTAATTTTTTTTTATGAAGAAAAAGAAAAACAGAGAGATTTATTGTAAACAATGGAACTCTACTGTACATAGCAACTAAAATTGTATGTCACATTCATTTATATAGCACTACTACTATCATATTTCTTGAAATTTGGCAAGTAGTTCTATTAATTAGCATTGAAAAGAGTAATCATATATCACTATCATCGCACGACGTGGCGCGACTACAAATCAAAATTTTCTTTTAAATTTATTTATTTTCAATACTAGTCTTTCCTTTTCATGAAAAATTGTGACTATTACAAAGAGTTGCGACTTTACTGAAGGTTTGTGACTTTTATGAAGAATTGTAATTTTATGAAAAATTGTGTCTTTTATTATTCCGAAGGGTTGCAACATTTCCAAAAAGTTATAACATTTTCGATAAGGTGCAATAAATATTTGTTCACGCTACCCTTTATTGACTATAAACAGAGGGATTTCCTCTTATTTGAAAACAACGAAAATTCTAAACTTTTTCTTCTTCTCCTTCTTTGTTCATGTTGAATGACTTATGTCACAAAGCTTGGTGTGCGTTTTTACGGTCATTAATTCATGCACATGTTATTGAGAATAAATAATAAAAAGTAATAAATTATATTTTACTTTACATTATTAATGGTTGTTAAGGGCGAATAATTTTACTTAGTTACAAAACTAAACATGAAAATGAAGAATGCAGAGTTATTGAAAGATATTCTCCATGAGCTTGACAAATTCACCAAAATCAATTTTTTCATCTCTGTTTTCATCAAATGGCGCAATCATCCTCTGGCAATCGAACACCGATAAATCCAAGAACCCCATCTTGGAAATGACTTTCTTTAATTCATTTGCATCAATGTAGCCATCTCCATTTTCATCAAACACGTCAAATGCTTCTTTAACTTCCTCCAAACTAGGCTCTGTTTTTTCAAATGAATCGAAAACCTCAACCAACTCTACCTCATCAATATTCTTATCCCCATTTTCGTTGCAAAAATTTATTAATGTGTCGAATACTAACTCAACATCCTTGGTCTCACTATTAATCACATTCGCCTTTGATGAAGTTTCAGCATTATCATGCTTCTTATTATATGGAGTATTGAAAAGGGAAATAATGGTTCGAAAAAACGAAGAAATAGAAGAATAAAATTCATGAAATATGATTACTAAGCAAAAAAACACGCAACTTAATATGGTTGAATTAGTATCACCCATCTTGTTGGCCTGTGCTGAGAATGAAAAGATCTTCTCCATGGACTTGTGTTTTCTTTAGATAGTGCTGAGTCATGAGATCAATGTAGAAACTTCATGTCCTATATATATAGAGAAAAAATACAATATTGGTGGAAACTATGGGGAAAAGAATGTTGAAAATGTTAATAAGTTTCTCACATAGTTTCTTCTTGGTAATTTACATCACTAGTGCTACACCTAAATAGGGTAAAGAGTAAACGTTGAACGAAAAGAGAGAAAAAACGTGTTTACACACTCTAAAGTCCAATTGATTTTGAAATTCATGTGTCCAATTATTTGTACTGAGGATTTTTAATTTATTGCTAATAAGAATGATAAATACTCTATCTAGATATAAAAAGCTTATGCAACAAATTTTATTTATATAAAATTAAGAATAATTAATTTCGAATTAGATGATCACCTTTTGAATTAATTGAGTGATCCAAAGGACGAATTTTGAGTGGTAAAAACGAATTTTTAGGGATTAACGATTTTACCGACATTAACGGAAGGAAGCTTCATAGAAGATATTGTAGGTGCTTCCAAGTAAATACTTAACCGCCCTACGAATATTTATATCAAATATTATATGTCATAGTAGGAACTTTAAGATTTTAATATATAATGTAAAATAAACTAATCGTAAAAATAATAATAATAAAGTAAAATAGAATATATATATGTATTGCTTAGATATGGTGAAATAACAAAATTAGTAATGCAGGTTCATGTTAGTTTTACGGGTATAAGTATTTGATATATGATTAAAATTGCGCACGTATATATGATAATAGAAATTTGTGTGACTATAAATCATTTCATTAAGAATAAAATAAAATATTTTAAAGCTATATTATTACCTAATATAAAAATATTATCATTCATTTTGAAACTGACTAAAAAGTAAAGTAAATCATGTAAATCGAACAGAAACAATTGTAATATAGACATAATAGATGTATAAGTTAGAGTCCGAAACTCAAAGGGTAGAAAATATTAACAAAAATTCCAAAACGGTATATAAAATTTTATATAAACCAAAACGGTAAAATCGCTGCCGACGCAGCGATTTACTTCAACTGAAAAAGTAAATATTTTCAATTTTG